CAGGAATAGCGGATCAAAGGACCACCGTATGCAGGACTTCACGTGCGCCCCGCCCTCCACGCCCAAGCTTCACGCGGACGGCAAGCGGCTGAATCGCGACGGGTGTGTATCAGGAGCACAATCACCCTTTGTGCTCCTTGTGCATCATCTTGACTCCTGCTTGCAGGGGGTCAGACTAGATGACCCCTGGCGTCCCTTCCAGCTCGGCCATTATTGAGACTTTATGAACGTGCGGACGCAGGGCCAAAATACTGGAACCCAGAGCCGAGGCGCGGGCCAAATCCACGCATCTCCCGTGGGCGCCACGTCCAGGGGGCTGAGGCTCAGCTGGAAAGCAAGGCTGGGGCAGCTACTCCACCCTGGGGGGGCCCGGCGGCCAAGGCGACGGCGGTGGCACCCGAGGACGGGACCCGCCTGGCAGAGATTCCCGGCTGCTTCTCCTTCGGCGCCCCGACGGGGCGGGCCAAAGGGAAGCTCCGATCCGGTCCCTCCCCCGGTGGGCTGGGGCTGGGGCGGGGCTGGGGGGGAGGGAGGTCCTTCCCTGGCTGCCGCCGCGCGGGGAGTCCGGCCGGCCGTCTGTGGGGCGCCGTCGGGGGTCGTCGAGATGGGCAGCGGCGGCGTCAACCTGGAGACGCACAGCCTGGCTCTGCTGGCTGCCAAGGGCGACGTGGCGAGCGGGAGAGCGGCCGCCAGCTGGTGAGTGAGTGGGGGGCGCAGGGGGCGTCGGGAGAAGCCCCGCGGGACCCACGTCGGGGGGCGGCTGGGGAGGAGGAGGGGGCCTTCCCAGGGCGCCCCTCTGGGTGCCAGCCCGCCCTGAGAAAGAAGGACGCCGCCAGGCGCATGCCCGTTGGGTGCCCACCCGCTGCCAGGCAGCCATGGGGAGCCTTTCGGGACGGGAGGGAGCCGGGAGCCCCGACGGGAGACCTGCCCGCCCCCCAGCAGCTCCAGAAAGGCAGGGCTGCTGAGGTTGCCCCCTGGGATCGGGGCCCTACACTCCCCCTCCAAGAACGAGGAGGAGGCAAGGCCGCCCCCTCCATGGAAGGCAGCTGGGGGTCGCCCCAAGATCCCTCCAACGGGGACTCAGCAAAGGCAGCCTGTGCCCAAGCCTCGCCTTAGGCTGGGGTTCCTTTGCCAGCGTTTGCCAACCAGGTGCCCTCCAGGAGTTTTGGAACCTCCCATCCCAGAATCGTAGCATGGCAGGGCTGGAAGGGATCCCCAAGGGCCATCTAGTCCAACCCCAATCAGTGTGGGTCAGGGATGATGGGAGCTGTAGTCCAAAGTGTCTGGGGAGGCTCCCATAGGTTGGCAAAAGGCTGCCGTGGCATCTTGGCTAAATGACCTGAAATCACAAACAAACCCCAAGCAGAGGAAGGTCAGAGTGTCCTGGCTGCTCCTTGCCCACCCCCTGAATGGGAAGGGGGAAACTGAGGCTGCTGGGCGGGGAAGAGGGAGCCCCACGCCAGGCTGGAAGGGATGGGTCAGGATTCAGTCCTTGGGGAAGGTGCCACCTTGCATGGGGATGGCATTGCCAATGCAGGCTTGCCTAAGGGCCCGTCTGTGCCAGGATCCTGTCCTTCTCAGGGTGGCCTCTGGGAAACCAGAAAGCAGGATCCGGCCCAACAGAGCCCTGGTGGCTAGTAGCCATGGGTAGCCTTCTCTGGGTCATCTGGACCCCCCCACGTGCCCTGACTGCCAAGATATCCTACCCACAGCCAGTTCAACCAGTTCAGTTTTACTCACCTGAATTAGGGGGTGCATTTTGCCTCAAATGTTGGTGGGCGCCTTATAGCTCCCTGGACCCTTTTGCACCCGGGGCCAGGAGCACACACACCCCCACTGGGCCTTCCCCACCCCCCTCTCAGGATCAGGCCCCTCAAGGACTCCTGGCACCTCTTGTTTTGGGTAAATGTCAGGTCTCTTTGTCACCAGGTGATTAATCCCGGCTGGCCACCTGCCCACCTGCCCTCACCTGGCGGCTGCTTAACTCTTCCCATCCCTGCCGGCTCTGGCTTAATCCTGCCTCAAGGACGTCCCTGGAGGAGTTGGGGCTGAGGCACCAGCAGCCGCCGCCGTGGGGCTGGCTGTGGGGAGGGCGAGAAGGACACGGGTTATGAAACGGCTGTGGATTTTGGACTTATTTTCCAACCTGCAGAAACCAAGGGGAGAGGCAGCTGGATCAGGCCAGATCAGTCTCATGTCCTCCAGGCAGCACAGTTATATAATCCTGGGGAGTGATGGGAATTGGGGGGGGGGAGGCTGGCAGGAGAAGTGGAGGATGTGGTTTCTGCAGCTGGAGCAAAGATGGTCCCTTTTGCCATCTCATTTTTGGGGGTCGCAGTGCGAGGTCTTGCATTTATATGTGTCTTGCATTTGTGGCCCACCTTTTACTCCAAGGAGCTCCAGGTATTTTTTGCTCTATTAGACTCACTTTTCCCCTCCTAAAAAGTAAGGGGAAATGTGTGTGCGTCTTATGGAGCGAATGCAGGCTTGCGCAGCTATCCCAGAAGCCAGAACAGCAAGAGGGATTGCTGCTTTCATTGCGCAGCGATCCCTCTTGCTGTTCTGGCTTCTGGGATTCAGAATATTTTTTTCTTGTTTTCCTCCTCCAAAAACTAGGTGCGTCTTGTGGTCTGGTGCGTCTTATAGAGCGAAAAATATGGTACATGGTTCTCCCCCCTCAAATTAATCCTAACAGCAACCCTAGATGGCTCAACTGACTAGTAAACTCAGAGGAAACTCAAAGCAAAAATTTGCGGGAAAACGGGATGGTTATAGAAGATATGTTCAAAAATACAAGAATCGTTTTGACTCCGTGCTAGCATTCGAGTGAGAAAGGAACTAAAAGGAGGTGGACAAGAATTAAGGATTTATTATGTTTTCAGAATGTATTGGAAAATGTATATAGAAAGGTTTGTTGTTTTGCGTACATTTGATTGTAAGATAAAATGTATGGAAAGGGACTTGACAAGAAGTCAAAGTTGAAGAAAAGATTTTGGAAGATAAAAGGGGCAGGGGATATTTACTTTCATTACTATCATTTTGTGTGCGGGTGTGTGGGTGTCTGCACATATGTGTGTTTTTGTATGGAATGTTTGGGAGGAAATAAGACGGTAAATAAACTAAATATTGATGTATGTCATTTTTATTTCTTCATTATATTTAGTGGTAGTATGGCTGTATTGTTTTTTGTAACATAAAATCACTCAATAAAAATTATTTTAAAAAATAAAAAAATCCTACGAACAACCCTGAAAGGTAGGCTAGGCTGAGAGGCAGGGACAGCTCCCAAGGTCACCCAGTGAGTTTCCTGGCAGAGTGGGAGGATTCAAACCCTGGTCCCACGCTCTAACCATGGCGGCATCGCGCCAGCTTCGCCCTCCCTCCGCTTTGCTTTCCTGAGGCCTCCAGGCAGAGGCGCTGCGTTTGCCTGCGCATGTAAGCGCATGTTGCGCATGAAGTCCTCTCCTTTCTGCCCTGGGGGAGGCGGCGCTGCCATGTCTGCAGATACTCACCCCCCCACCATGCCAGCGAAAGGGGGTGGGACTCTTTGGGGAGGGAAAGGGCAGCCCTAGACCAAGGCTGGGCTGGGCTTGGGGGGAGAGGGAGAGACCCAGCCCGATGGGCGGGGTACAAATAATAAATTATTCTTATTCTCATTTGCTATGGGCTGCCCAGGTGGAGGCAACTGGAACCCCCACCAGGAAGTTCTTAGCGGTGGAATCCAGCCAGGCTGGCTCTGGTTCTCAGCAACAAAAGAAGGCTTGCCTTACCTGCCCGGACAGGTGTTCCTCAGGTGTGTGGCTGTGCCTCTCCTGAGGAGGGCAGGGGCTTCTCTGTGAGGGCGCACTGCCCACTTTCTGGCAAGGACCAGCCGACCTGCCTTGCCTCCTCCCACCGACCGGAGAGATCTGGATGTGCCCTTCAGAGCTCAGGCCGCCAGCCCTGTTTGCAGCGCCAGGACTCAGAAAAGAGTGCCCCTGAGCTTGTGCAGAATGCCTTTCCCTTCTGAGCGTGCTGAGGGAACCCCTGGGCCTGCTGCCTCTGGCTTTGTGTCCCAGGTGGCGGCAGGCAGGCGGTCTGGCCTTGTCGGGTGCCAACATAGGGGGCATTCCGGACCACAATGGCCCCTTCGAGGCATTTGGTACCCAGTCTCCTCTCACCACCTGTGTTCGAATCCTGCTTGGGGTTTTCCGATGGGGACATCTAGTTGGCCTCCTGTGAGAACAGGATCCTGGGCTAGTTGGACCACTGGCGTTTCAGGTGGCGGACAGACCGCTCTTCGGCTCCGCTGGGAACCTGCCCTCAGGATCTTCCTCCTGAGGTTTTTGGGGGCTTGCGGTGCCCTTGCAATGCCCCCCCCCCAAGAAGCTGGACTCTCCCCTAAGGGCTGAATCCCGCTTGCTCTCGGAAGAACGATTCTCCGTCTGTTCTTACGCTGCTCCGCCATCTTCCCAGGCAGACCAGAGGGCAGTGGTGTCCTTGCCCCCAATTCTGGCTGGCTAGGGGGGCTCCAAGCCCCTTTTAGCCTTTCCCTTGGGGCTTCATCCTGCCTCGGCCAGAAGAGGGGCATCAGCCGAGCCCCCCTCCCATTGCAGCATCCGTGACACACGTCTTATTTATTTATTGCAAAGAGCTGAAGGTGGCATGCGCTGTTCTCCGTCCCAGTGAGGTAGGTTAGGCTGGGAGGTGTGGCTGGCCCAAGATCGCTCAGTGAGCAGATTTGAACCCAGGTCCCGGCGCAACACAATCACGCCGGATCTCTGAAGTGGCAGAACTCAGCCTCTGGCTCCCATGGCCTCCCCTTCTTCCCCGAATATTTCCTCCTCTGAGCGCTGAGTGCCTGGGCTGGGTGTACAGGCTGTAACAGGATCCGGTGCAGACGGGGAAGGAGGGCCGCAGGGGGGCTGGCGGAAGGCGCCGGAAAGCCTTTCATCCGCTGCCAGCCCCATCACCTCACCCTGACGCCCTGAAGGGGAGGCTGCACCCAGTTGCAGAATTATTGCTGGCAGTAGGAACTGTGGCGGTGTGTGTGTGTGTGGCCAGCAGTGGGGCCCAGCCCCACAGTAGGGGGTGAAGGATCTGGGGCGGGGGGTGTCTCAGTCAGTGGAGAACATAAGATTAGCCAGCTGGAACAGGCCAGGGGGTCACCTAGTGCAGCACCCTGTTCTCACAGGGGCCGACCAGATGGGGAACCCGTAAGCGGGATTCGAACACAAGAGCGTTCTCACCTCCTGGGGTTTCCAGGAACGGGCATTCAGAAGCGTCACAGTGGAGGCAGACAGCCTGGCTAGGAGCCGTCCATACCATACAATTATTGTTGTTGTTGTTGTTTAGTCGTTTAGTGGTGTCCGCCTCTTTGTGACCCCCTGGACCAGAGCACGCCAGGCCCTCCTGTCTTCCACTGCCTCCCGCAGTTTGGTCAAACTTATGTTTGTAGCTTCGAGAACACTGTCCCACCATCTCGTCCTCCATCGTCCCCTTCTCCTTGTGCCCTCCATCTTTCCCAACATCAGGGTCTTTTCCAGGGAGTCTTCTCTTCTCATGAGGTGGCCAAAGAACTGGAGCCTCAGCTTCCTTCCAGTGAGCACTTAGGGCTGATTTCCTTCAGAATGGAGAGGTTTGATCTTCTTGCAGTCCATGGGACTGTCCCATACAGAACAATGAAATTGAAAAATCTACACCAGACATTCAAAAACCCCTAAAAACTCTGAAACCCCATTTAAAAATACAATATACTATAGAGACTCCTTATACTGCATTTGGAACCAGAATTGCATTGGGGAAGAAACTGTTTCTCAGGCGGCTAGTCCGAGTCTTTCTAACCCTGCACCTTCTTCCAAAGGCAGAAGCTGAAAGAGATCATTTCCGGGGTGCACACTATCCTGCGCTATCTCTGCCGCTTTCTTATGGCACCTGGAAGCGTAGATTTGATCCAAGGTGGGAAGAGTGCACCCAATTATTCTCTCCGCTGTTTTTACAACCCTGGATAGCATTGTTTTTCCCCTGACCGTGCAGCTCCCAAACCACACACACAGACCATAAGTTAATACATTCTCCACAGTACAATGGTAAAATGCCATCAACAGGTCCTTGGAGAGATTGCTTTTCTGGAGGAGTCTCAGAAAATATAACCTCTGCTGTGCTCTCTGCATCAGGTCTTTGCTGTTTTCTCCCCAGGTGAGATCATTTCTCAACTCCATTCCCAGAAATCGAAACACCAAGACCTGTTCCACGCACTTCCCCTCAATAATAAGTGGCTGAATATTCAGTTTACATTTCCTAAAGTCCACAATAATCTCTTTTGTTTTCTTTAAGTTAAGGAGTAAGTTGTTTTTGTTTTTTGTTTTTAGCCCTCTCCTCCTCCATGAATTGGTCTCATTCTCTTTTAAAGCCATCCTTGCCGCTTGTGGCAGGGAGTTCCACAGGTTAACCCTGTGCTGCACGAAGAAGGATTTTCTTTCTCCTGTTGTGAATCTTCCAACCTCCAGCTTCCCGGGACGTGCACAAGTTCTGGGAAGCCTTTTTCTCTCTGCACTCTGTCCATGCTCCTCTCCTGGCCTTTCCCCTGAGCCAAACAGCCCCAAACGCCTCCATCTTTCCTTATGGGTCTTCTGCCCCACCGTTTTTCTCCTTGGAGGGGGCTGGGAGGCAACTGTGTGCCCAGACCAGGCCTGGACCTAGGGAGGGGGGCTTCAAGGGGGGCTGCGTCCCAAGTGGCTCCTTCCAGAGACCAGGCAGGCCTGCTGGGCTTCCCCTGCCCCCCTGCCTGCCCCATTGTGCTCCTGGGGGGGGAATTGTTCTGGAGAGAATGCGTTTCCTCTCATTCAGGTCCAGATGCTGGGAGGGGGAGGGGCTGCTCCCTCGGCAGAGACCTATAGGAAGTCAGGGCGGGGAGGGGGCAGTTAATTGGTTGGCTTAATTAATTAAATTGATTTATTTAATTAATCAAGGGGGCGTGCATGAGTCTCCCCCTTCTCACTTAATCCCCACAACGACCCTGCGAGGTGGGTTAGGAATTTCAGCATAACAATTTATCAAAAAATACGTCATCCTCATTTCCCCCCCCATTTCCCCCCTCCCCCCTCCCCAAAAAGGGGAAAAAAAACCCTCCCACCCCCCCAGACTTCCCTCAGCTCCTCTCTCTGGTTTCTCAGCACATTTTATTCTCTGCATATTATAAAATTGTAAAGTTCCTTCATTAATCTATCAATATGTTACCAATAAAAAAATTGTGTATGTTTATTCCAAACCTGCCAAGGAGTCCGGTTAATAACAACAACAACAACAACAACAACAACAACAATAATAATAATAATAATTTATTATTTATACCCCGCCCATCTGGCTGGGCTTCCCCAGCCACTCTGGGCAGCTTCCAACAAAATATTAAAATACAATAATACAGTTCATTTTGTTGTTTCTTTAAGTACTTTGTAAAAGGTTCCCATTCTTCTTTAAAGTCACAGTTGTCCTTGTCATGTAGTTTGTGTGTCAGTTCCGCCAATTCCGCATAATCCATCAGTTTCTCTTGCCACAGTTCTTTGGTCGGGATTTCCTCGTTCTTCCATCCTTGTGCTATTAAGACTCTTGCCACAGTTGTCGCAGACATGAAGATATTTCTGAATTTCCTTGGCAGGTCTTTTCCTACAATCCCTGGGGGAGACCACTTCGGGGCATGGAGGGCCCTCAAGCTATCCTGGCTCAGGCTGCGGCCTCTCCTCTCCGCAATGGGCTCATCCTTTTGCAAAACTGTCGGCCAGCAAGCGTTGCAACATCCTCCTGCGATGCATTCCGTACATTAACGACGAGCTGCTTGAAAAAGGATTTCCGCTGCCAGATTCTTTGGATACCCCAAAGCTCCTTGAGACTTTGCTTGCTGCCTCCCCCTCCCCTCCTGGGCTCCATCTGTGGCTGCCTTAGGAGGCACATAGGCGCATGGATCCAGCCCCCTCTTCTCACTGAGGCCAAGCCGAGGCCCCCATGGGAAGCCCGCAAGCAGGATTCGCACACAAGACCCCTCTCCCCTCCTGTGGTTCCAGCAGCTGACTTTCCAAAGCCTTGCTGCCTTTGACCATGGAGGCAGAGCCCAGCCATCGTGGCTAGGAGCTGTTAGTAGCCGGATCCCCTCCATGAATTTGTCTGTCTTTTGTCATTCGTTTCTTCTTCTCCTTTCTTGGAATTAATTTTTGTTTTCCGAAATATAAACATACAACCAAAACAGTTCCCAATCTTAATTATTGAGATTACTCTGAATCGCCTGACTTCCCCCCGTCCCTTCCACGCATCCTATCAAATTTATTTTCAACTGCATATCAATACTTCTGCAATTTTTCATCTTCCTAAATTATCTACAGTCATACCTCATGTTACATCCACTTCATGTTACGTTCTATCAGGTTACGTCCCGCGGCGACCCAGAAGTACCGGAAAGGGTTACTTCCGGGTTTTGTCGCTCGCGCATGCGCGGAAGTGCAAAATGACATCACACGCATGCGCAGAAGAGGCAAGTCACAACCCATGCGTGCGCAAATGCGCCGCTGCAGGTTGCGCTCTTTTCATGTTGCGAACGGGCCTCCGGAACTGATCCCATTCGCAACCAGAGGTACCACTGTATGTAAAGCTAAAGGGACCCCTGACCATTGGTCCAGTCGTGGCCGACTCTGGGGTTGTGGCGCTCATCTCGCTTTACTGGCCGAGGGAGCCGGCGTACAGCTTCCGGGTCATGTGGCCAGCAGGACTAAGCCGCTTCTGGCGAACCAGAGCAGCGCATGGAAACGCCGTTTACCTTCCCACCAGAGCGGTACCTATTTATCTACTTGCACTTTGACGTGCTTTTGAACTGCTAGGTGGGCAGAAGCAGGGACCGAAGAACTGGAGCTCCCCCCGTCACGGGGATTCGAACCGCCAACCTTCTGATCAGCAAGTCCTAGGCTCTGTGGTTTAAGCCACAGCGCCACCCGCGTCCCTAGAGACTACCTTACACTACGTTTAAAACCAAAATCGCATTTGGGTAGAAACTGTTTCTCAGGCGGCTAGTCCTGGTCTTTATAACCCTGCACCTTCTTCCAGAAGGCAGAAGCTGAAAGAGATCATTTCCGGGGTGCACACTATCCTGCGCTATCTCTGCCGCTTTCTTATGGCACCTGAAAGTGTAGATTTGATCCAAGGTGGGAAGAGGGCACCCAGTTATTCTCTCTGCAGTCTTTACAACCCTGGACAGCACTGTTTTCCCCCTGACCGTGCAGCTCCCAAACCACACGCACAGACCCTCGGGGTTCCCTTCCAATTCTGCGATTCTATGCTTCTGTAATGGGACATCCTTCTTTCTGTCTCCTGCCCAGGGCCCTCTTTTCCTACGAAAAAGCCAACGAGCTGAAGCTCCTGGACTCTGGAGGTAAGACTTCGAAGCCCCTGGATAATTCTGCAACCCGTGGCTATTCTCCCGTGTAGGGACCAGGGACGCCGTCTCTCAAGGACTTCCTCAAGCCCCTGGCCCTGGAGCCGGGCTGCGCTGGGTTGCCTCTGGCGGGGGCCAGGGGGGCAAACCTTTGCAGAGCTCCCGGGGCCACCTTGGAGCCAGCAGGGAGGCCCCAGGGCCTGCTCAGCAATCCTGCCCTTTCTTCTCCTTCTAGAGGCAGTGAGTTCCGCAGGACCTGTTGTTCAGGACGCCCGTGTCTCTTGGGATGGGGCATTGCTGAGGGTTGTTTTTTTGTTGTTGTTGGGATCAAGATTTAATCTTGCAGGTGTTTAATTTTTGCCGTTACCGGTATTGACTTTTCTGTATTTTTAACGTTATTTTGATTGTTTCATTTATATTGTATAATTATTTGTTACATGCATCTCAAATGAGGCTCACAAAGCATGTATACTTCTTGGGATGTTTTCATTTGCTTCTGGCTACTTTTGTTACATTTCTGAAATTCCGTAAATGAGCGTGGTTTGACTATGGAAAGGTGACTTGCAAAGATGTGAAGGTGATTTTGATGTTCGCTCCTTCCCTCTGCCCCACCTCCCTTTCCAGCCGGGGGTCCCGATGAGCTGGCCAGGCGCTTCCAGAGCGGCAGCGTCATGTACGGCCTCTGCCGCCTCCCAGATGCCGCCACGGGGCAGCAGCACGTGGTCCTCATCAGCTGGGTGAGCCGGGGGTCTGCCTGGGCAGTTCCAGGGGGTCTTCTGCAGGAGGGCAAGTGGGTCCCCGTTGCAAAGAGGGGCTGCACAGAAAAGGGCTTTTAAGCTTGTGAATAAATGACTTGAGTGTTCAGGGTGAGCCAGGGGCGCCAACGTGCCCCCCACATTGAGGGGGCCGGGTGTCACGTGACCCATCCCACCCCTGCCCGGCATGCCAGCGCTCACCCAGGGACGGCGTAGGATGATGCCCCCCTCAATATTGGGAGGGCTCGAGAAATATTGAGAGGCCTGAAGCCCCTTCTGTCCCCTATAGTTGGCGTTCCTTGGGGTGAGCAGTATGCTGATGAACAAGACTTCTTCACGCAGTTAGACTATGGAACTCCTTGCCACAGGAAACAGAGGAGGGGAGAGGGTTGCCCTTGGGCCCAGATCCTGTTTGCCTGCAAGTTTCCCACCGGGGCATCTGGGTGGCCACTGTGAGGACAGGATCCTGGACCGGCTGGTCCTCCGTGGGCCTGATCCAGCAGGCTCATCCCACGTTTCCCCATTCCCCTGCACAGCCTCTGCCTACATTGGGGGAACCGCAAAGCCGCTCTCCTCCCCAGTGGGCTCAGAGACTGGGGGGGGGGGTTGTGGGGGGGTTGCTGGGATCTGGCTGGACTCCCAGGGGTGACAACCCCCCCGCCCTACTTGCTGCTTCCTGCCAGGCTCCTGGAAGGGAGCCACGCAAGAGCCAGGAACCTCCTTATCTGGCTCCTTCTCTTGCTGCCCGCTCTTCTGCCAAGCGCCAGGGTCTTCGAAAACCCCAGCGGTGAATTTTGCAAAGGGGTCAACCTCCAAATGAGCTCCTCTGCGGAGGAACAGGGCTAACGGGCATGTGCAGAGTGCACGCCCCCCTTCGCAGTTGCCATCGGATTCCAGGTGCCCCCAAGGGAAACCCGTGAGCAGGATCCAAGCACAAGAGCAACTGTTCCCTCTTGCAATTTCCAGGAATTGGCATTCAGAAGCATTTCAGAGCCATTAGTGGCCCAAACTGCTTAACCCTTTCCTGATCCAAAATGTCCTGGATTTTATGAAGGGGACCTCAAAGGCCATCCAGCCCAACCCGCTGTGGATGCAGGAACCCCTCTTCCTACGCCTGCCTACCTGAGAGGCCAGCTTCCCTGAGAAAGCTCCGGGCGAAGCAGAGCCCCCTTCTTTCCCTTCCCAGCCCCCTGCCTTGCCAGGAATTTCTCGGTCTGGGCAGCTGCACTGCAGGCGGCAGGCCAGCTCCCTAGATTTGGGGCCCTCTCTCTTTAAATCCTGCTGCTTTGCCCCAGGGCCTTCGGGGAAAGGCGTCTGAACTTCTGCCCCTTCTCTTTGGCACCAGGTTGGCGAGAAGGTCTCGGAGCAGCAGAAGCAGGCCTGTGCTGGGCACCTGCCGGCCATCCGAGCCTTTTTCAAGGTGAGCCGCCAGCATCCATCGGAAATGGCCGTTTCCACTGGGTGGGGAGCGAGGAAGGGGCTGCCCCAGACCTCCCTGCCTGCCCCCCTCCCTGCCTGCCGGAGTCAGTTTTGGACAAGTCCCTCGCTTTATGCGCCCCCTCGCCCAGCTTGTCCGGAGTTTTGGACTGGGCTGCCATCAGTATGCCGATGATACCCAACTCTATCTGTTGATGGATGGCCATCCTGACTCGGCCCCAGACACACTGACCAGATGTTTGGAAGCTGTGGCTGGATGGTTACGTGGGAGCCGGTTGAAGCTAAATCCTTCGAAGACAGAGGTCCTGTGGCTGGGACGGGACGATATGGGATTGGGGGCGGCAACTCCCATCTCTTGCGGGGGCGCAATTAGTGCCAGCACCGTCCGTTAAGAGTTTGGGTGTAATCTTCGACACCTCCCTTTCCATGGAGGCACAGATTGCGGCTATAACAAAGGCGGCATTTTTCCATCTCCGCCAAGCTAAGCAGCTGGCCCCTTATCTCTCTCGCCCTGACCTAGCCACTGTGATCCATGCGACGGTCACCTCCAGACTGGATTATTGTAACTTGCTCTACGTGGGGCTGCCCTTGAGACTGACCCAGAAACTCCAGCGGGTGCAGAATGCCGCGGCGAGACTCCTAATGGGGTCCTCGCTGCGAGATCACATTCACCCAGTGCTATACCAGCTGCACTGGCTCCCGGGGGAGTACAGGATCAGGTTTAAGGTGCTGGTTTTAACCTTTAAAGCCCTATACGGCCTAGGACCCTTGTACCTACGGGCCCGCCTCTCCTGGTATGTCCCACAGATGACCTTACGGTCTTCAAATAAAAACATCTTGGAGGTCCCAGGCCACAGGGAGGTTAGGCTGGCCTCAACCAGAGCCAGGGCCTTTTCAGCCGTGGCCCCAATCTGGTGGGACGCTCTGTCACAAGCGACTAGGGCCCTGCGGGACTTGACATCTTTCCGCAGGGCCTGCAAGACAGAGCTGTTCCACCAGGCCTTTGGCCAAGGCACAGCCTGATCCCCTCCTTTGGCAATCCTCACAGAACTCTAGCCCAATGGTTGCCATTAATATGATTTGAACTGATTTTAAAATGAAATGATTTTAGAATGTTTTATTATCTTACTGTTGTTAGCCGCTCTGAGCCTGGCTTTGCCAGGGGAGGGCGGGATATAAATAAAAATTTATTATTATTATTATTATTATTATTATTATTATTATTATTGAGGATCCTGACCCCCCCACCCTGGGAGTGTGGGAAGGGGGAAGGCCTTGCCCCCTTTTTGATCCTCAAGAGGAGACAGCTGCTCCTCCAGCTCCTTGCTCTCTCTTCCCTCTCCCTGCCCCCCCCAGCTTTGCCTCCCAGGCTTCCTCCCTGCAGCCGGAAGGGACCCAGCTGCAAACATCTGGTTCCCAAGAGGTTCTACATTCCAGGAATCTGAGGCTGGAATGAGTTTTCTCCCAGGCTGCCATCCCAGACTCTCCCTCTATCGCCCTGGCAACTGTCTGGGCGGAAAGGGCTTGGGGAATTGGCAGGCTCAATGGCAAGAGGGAGGTGGGCCCCCCCATGGCCCCTCTCACGCCACACCTTCTAGGCCAGGGGTAGGCAAACTAAGGCCCGGGGGTCAGATCCGGCCCAGTCGCCTTCTAAATCTGGGAATCTTAGTCCAGGAATCAGCATGTTTTTACATGAGTAGAATGTGCCCTTTTATTTAAAATTCATCTCTGGGTTATTTGTGGGGCATGGGAATTAATTCTTTTTTTTTTTTTTCAAAATATAGTCTGGCCCCCCACAAGCTCTGAGGGATAGTGGACCGGCCCCCTGCTGAAAAAGTTTGCTGACCCCTGGTCTAGGCACTCCCAAAGTGTTGGGGGGGGGGAGAAGGATCCTGAGTTAGAATGCGCTTGCTGGGCAAAGGCTCCCCTTTGCCGCCTCATGCTTCCTAAGAGAATCGTAGAGTTCAGAGGGACCCCCAGGGGGCATCTAGTCCAGCCTCCAGGAATCGCAGCTAAGGCACCTCTGACACGGCTCTCCATCCTCTTCAACGAAGGAGAATCCACCACCTTCTGAAGGAGTCCGTTCCACCGTCTCTTACCATCGGAACGTTTTTAATATTGAGCCGGAATCTCCTTTCTCGCAATTTGAACCCATCAGTTTTGGTCCTGCAAGGAACACACTCTGCACATGCTCACGGGCACTGCCACCTTCCCGTTTTCAGGGCCGGGTCTTCCCTGCCCCTTTTTCCTGCTCTCTTCTCGCTGGGCTGCCTCCTTCTCCGGCAGTTTCCCCCGGCCCCAATCCCTGGCAATGGAGGCCTGGATGTGCATTTGGGGATTGTGGCCCCCCACTTGGGGGAGGCTGATGCTGTGTGCCCCCCTGGCCCCGGGTGAGAGTGCCCAGGGCTTCCCCTCTGCTCCCCCCTGCAGGAAGCCCGCCTGGTGGTGAAGGCGTCCCGAGCCGAGGAGGTGACCCAGGAGGGGCTGAGGCACTCGCTGCCCCTGGCTGCCCCGCCAGGAGGTCCTGAGGCCGCGAAGAAGGCGCCACTGGGTGACCCTCAGGAGCTGGTGGTAAGGAGGAGCCGGGGGGGGTCCCTCGGGTGGGGAGGGGCAGCCAGCGCCCCAGGGGATCGGGCCCAGCAGCTGGGGGAGCCTGGAACACCCAGGAGAGAATGGGTGTGTTTGTCGGGGAGTGCCAGCGGTCGGGGGACGGACGGGTCGCCTCTCCCTGGAGCACATTGTGGCCCATTGGCATCCAGACGCATCCCTTGTATCAAACGATTGCAGAGTTAAAAGGGACACCAAGGATCATCTAGTCCAACCCAAGATTGCAGGGGGTTGGACTAGATGACTCTTGGGGTCCCTTCTAATCCTTCAATTCTATTTAATCCGCACGACAACCCTGAGAGGTGGGTTAGGCTGAGGGGTAATGACTGGCCACCAAGCAGGATTCAAATCCCCTCCGAGTGGAGATTTGAACCCTGGTTTCTCTCGGGTCCTAGCCCGGTGCTCTAACCACTGTGCCGCACTGCCTCTCCGCCGGTTCTTTCCCCCAGGGCACCAACTACAAGAAGACCAACCCAGCGCTGGAGATCCTCCGTACCAAGAGGGACTCATTCTGGGCGCAGGCAGAGGTGAGGAGGGTGCCAGGGGGAGGCTCCCCTGCCTGCTGGGCACCCCTGGCACAGGGGCAGGGCAAACCCAGCTGCCAGGGGCGGTTGGGGTGGCCTTTTCTGCCCGGCCTGCCCTGACCACACAGCTGCTTGCGCCCCTCAGAGGGAAGAGGAGCAGAGGCGGGAAGAGGAGCGCCGCCGGGCGCAGGAGGAGCGGCGGCGCTGGGAACGGCAGCGCATGGAGGAGGAGCGGCGGGAGGCGGCCGAGAGGGAGCGCCGGGTGCAGGAGAAGGAGCAGCTCGTCCAGGAGCAGAGGTGGGTGCTCGGCTTGGGGGGACTGCAGGGAAACAGGGGCTCTCCCATGTAGTGATCAGGTGGGATTGCTATGAGGAATTATGAAATATGGAGCAAGCCATTGTGTCAGCGATGAAAGCCTTGCGTTGACTGGGTTTGATTCATTGACAATAATTTCTGATCGAATACCACAAGCCTCTGCATCTTTGCTTTCTCTACACCTGACAAACAGGTGTACTCAGAGGAGAAGATGGTGAAATGCAAACAGGGGACACAGAAAGAGCTGAACTCCTCAATGCCTTCTTTGCCTCAGTCTTCTCCGATAAAGAAAACAATGCCCGACCTGAAGAATTTGGAGCAAATGATTCAGCAGAGGAAACACAGCCCAGAATAACTAAGGAGATAGTACAAGAATACTTGGCTAGTTTAGATGTATTCAAGTCTCCAGGGCCAGATGAACTGCATCCAAGAGTATTAAAAGAACTGGCAGATGTGATCTCAGAACCACTGGCAGTCATCTTTGAGAATTCCTGGAGAACAGGCGAAGTCCCGGCAGACTGGAGGAGGGCAAATGTTGTCCCTATTTTCAAAAAGGGGAAAGAGAGGACCCAAATAATTACCGCCCAGTCAGTCTGACATCAATACCAGGGAAGATTCTGGAGCAGATCATTAAGCAAACAGTCTGTGAGCACCTAGAAAGGAATGCTGTGATCACCAATAGTCAGCATGGATTTCTGAAAAATAAGTCATGTCAGACTAACCTGATCTCTTTTTTTTACAGAATTACAAGCCTGGTGGATGAAGGGAACGCAGTGGATGTAGCCTACCTTGATTTCAGCAAGGCATTTGACAAGGTGCCTCATGATATTCTTGTAAAGAAGCTGGTATAATGTGGTCTTGACTATGCTACCACTCAGTGGATTTGTAACTGGCTGACTGACCGAACCCAAAGGGTGCTCATCAATGGTTCCTCTTCATCCTGGAGAAGAGTGACTAGTGGGGTGCCACAGGGTTCTGTCTTGGGCCCGGTCTTATTCAACATCTTTATCAACGACTTGGATGATGGACTCAAGGGCATCCTGATCAAATTTGCAGATGACACCAAATTGGGAGGGTGGCTAACACCCCAGAGGACAGGATCACACTTCAAAATGACCTTGACAGATTAGAGAACTGGGCCAAAACAAACAAGATGAATTTTAACAGGGAGAAATGTAAAGTATTGCACTTGGGCAAAAAAAATGAGAGGCACAAATACAAGATGGGGACACCTGGCTTGAGAGCAGTACATGTGAAAAGGATCTAGGAGTCTTGGTTGACCACAAACTTGACATGAGCCAACAGTGTGACGCGGCAGCTAAAAAGCCAATGCAATTCTGGGCTGCATCAATAGGAGTATAGCATCTAGATCAAGGGAAGTAATAGTGCCACTGTATTCTGCTCTGGTCAGACCTCACCTGGAGTACTGTGTCCAGTTCTGGGCACCACAGTTCAAGAAGGACATTGACAAACTGGAACGTGTCCAGAGGAGGGCAACCAAAATGGTCAAAGGCCTGGAAACGATGCCTTATGAGGAACGGCTAAGAGAGCTGGGCATGTTTAGCCTGGAGAAGAGGAGGTTAAGGGGTGATATGATAGCCATGTTCAAATATATAAAAGGATGTCACATAGAGGAGGGAGAAAGGTTGTTTTCTGCTGCTCCAGAGAAGCGGACACGGAGCAATGGATCCAAACTACAAGAAAGAAGATTCCACCTAAACATTAGGAAGAACTTCCTGACAGTAAGAGCTGTTCGACAGTGGAATTTGCTGCCAAGGAGTGTGGTGGAGTCTCCTTCTTTGGAGGTCTTTAAGCAGAGGCTTGACAACCATATGTCAGGAGTGCTCTGATGGTGTTTCCTGCTTGGCAGGGGGTTGGACTCGATGGCCCTTGTGGTCTCTTCCAACTCTATGATTCTATGATTCTATGATTCTATGATTCTAGGTATAAGCATCCTAGGACACAGACCAGTCGCCGGCTGCTGCACCAGGCATCCTGGGCCATAAAAGATAGTAGGCAGTTTCTTTGATGTGCCCATCCTTGGTTTTGTTAATCTTAGGGCCTGGAAATAGTTTCACAGGAAGGTGATAAAGATTTTTGTTGTTGTTGTTTAGTCGTTTAGTCCGACTCTTTGTGATCCCCTGGACCAGAACACGCCAGGCCCTCCTGTCTTCCACTGCCTCCCTCATGCTGGTAGCTTCGAGAACACTGTCCCACCATCTCGTCCTCCGTCGTCCCCTTCTCCTTGCGCCCTCCATCTTTCCCAACATCAGGGTCTTTTCCAGGGAGTCTTCTCTTCTCATGAGGTGGCCAAAGTCTTGGAGCCTCAGCTTCAGGATCTGTCCTTCCAGTGAGCACTCAGGGCGGATTTCCTTCAGAATGGAGAGGTTGGATCTTCTTGCAGTCCAAGGGACTCTCAAGTGTCTCCTCCAGCACCATAATTCAAAAGCATCCATTCTTCGGCGATCAGCCTTCTTTATGGTCCAGCTCTCACTTCCATACATCACTACTGGGAAATACCATATTTTTCGCTCTATTAGACACACTGGACTGTAAGACGCAGCTAGTTTTTAGGGGAGGAAAACAAGAAACAAGAAAGCAACGCAAAGCCTCCTGAGCGAAGAGGGAGTGCTCCTCCTTCTTCGCTCCGGAGGCTTTGCGGGGCTATCCCTGAAGCCAGGAGAGCAAGCGGAATCGGTGCACACCATTCCCTCTTGCCCTCCTGGCTTCAGCAAAAGCAAGCCTACTGGCTTTGCCACCACTTCCCGCAAGAGCTGCGTGCTCTTTAAAGGGAGCGCGGCTCTTGGGGGCTTTTCTGGGGTTTTCTTGAGGGCTTTTTCTGGGCAGCGATCCCGCTGGCTGTCCTGGCTTCTTGCTTGGACGCACACAGCGTCTCCCAGGCAAGGGGAACCTTCATCCCATGCCCGGGAGAGGCTTCGCGCGGCTAAGGTTCCCCCAAGAGCCACGCCCTTCTCCCTCCTCGGGGAAAAGCCCCCAAGAGCCGCACACACGCTCCACACGGCTCTTTAAAGGGAGCGCTGAGCAGAGCCTCCCGCCTGCATTCGCTCCATAAGACGCACACACATTTCCCCTTACTATTTAGGAGGGGAAAAGTGCGTCTTATGGAGCGAAAAATACGGTATCTCCTTGCCATCCTTCCTCTCCTGTTTACTCTCGTTTATGACCACTGGAGTTTCCTAAATGCATTCCTCTAGGCCTCTTTTATTTACAGTGGTACCTCGGGTTAAGAACTTAATTCGTTCCGGAGGTCCATACTTCACCTGAAACTGTTCTTAACCTGAAGCACCACTTTAGCTAATGGGGCCTCCTGCTACTGCCGCACCACCGGAGCACGATTTCTGTTCTCATCCTGAAGCAAAGTTCTTAACCTAAAGCACTATTTCTGGGTTAGCGGAGTCTGTAACCTGAAGCCCATGTAACCTGAAGCGTCTGTAACCCGACGTACCACTGTACTCTGAATTACATATGCATGCTCAAGTAGGAAATTAGCTCTTCTTAGTTAAAAGAATTTCTTCTGATCTGACTTTGTCCCACGTGGGGTTTTTTGAAATGCTCAGCGGAAATCCGATTGGTTCTTACAAACACTGTGTAAAAAGTTCTTTTGTGAATAAAACGACCTGGGCCGAGGAGTGGAAAGGAATTATTATTATACGCACCCCTCCCAGAGTCTTGCTGGTTCAAGCCTCTGTGTGTAGTTTATTATCAGAGTCCAATCCTTCCTTTACTTTGGGAAGGCCTCACTCCCACCCTGCTATTGGCGGGGATGGAGGTGAAACACAGCGCAGCTGAACTGTGGAACTCCCTGCTGCAGGAGGCAGCGATGGCCTGAATTTCCTGAGGAGAGGATTTGAGGAAATTTACAGAGAATAAGGCTAGCAGTGGCGTCAAGCCACAATGGCTCTGCTGAATTTACGCCCCCCAAAACCCCTCATTTTCCTGCAGGAAACAACAGGCCCAGCTGGAGGCAGAGGAGCGCAGGAGGGAGCAAGCCCGATGGGTGAGTCAGACTGCATCAGAATCCGCACCCGTGTCCGCAGCTGATTGCTGCCTCTGCTTCCGTGGCTTGGCAGCTGCCTGGCTCCCATGGGGAGGGTGGGGGGGGGTTAAGCCTGGCCTCTTCCGTGGGGCAGGAAGGTGACCCCGGAGGTCCAGGGTGCGGCTGCATGATCAACAGGTGGGGTTTAGCAACTGCCCGGCTGGTAGGCAAGCAGGAATCCCACAGGTGATATCTCCTCCAATTGAGTGGGAGAGGGTTTTCCTGTAGGGCAGGGGACCCTTGGCCCCCCCTGACCCCCTGTCTCCCCCAAATAGGAGCAGCAGCAGCAGGAGCGAGCGAAGGCACTGGCAGAACAGAGTCCCCTGAGCGGCTCTGCTGAGAAGGCCACTGTGAGTGGACGGGGCTGGCTGGGGTTTTGTCTCCCTCTTGCTGAAGATTCAGGGTGGATAAAAAGCGGGTAGTTAACCTGTGGAACTCCCTCCCACAGGAGGGCGCATTGAATTTTTCCACTCTCCAAAAATGAGGGTGCTCAAAAATTGTAACGTGACTTAGGAATTCAAAAGATATTTTGCTTAAATTAATGTATTTTAGTTTTGCTGAGCAGGTAAAATGCAGATACAGTTGCATAGGATTCATTAAAAACGATCACCAAGTACTTGTAATAATATTATAAATTAATATTTATTATTATTATTAAACATTCATTGGCATTTTCAGAAGGTTAAGATTAAAACTCTTTGGTTTTCCAAAAGCAGTTTATGTGCCTCTTCATCAGACGTCGACATACCAAGCTAAATATTGCCCAGTCGCAAAAGTAATAGCAAATTTGAATTCCTAATTCCCGAAAACATCTATTTTAAGATCCCTCAGTGAAAGAAAAATTGCAAAAAAATAAGTTTCACTCCCTAAAATGACACAGAATGCTTCTGAATTGGAAAGCACAGGAGGAGAGACTTGCTCTGGTGCTGATTCTGTCGGCGGCTTTCGCACTCGGGTCCCCTATTTGGCCCTTCTGAAACCCGGATTCTGGACTGGATGAGTCTCTGGCCTGATCCTGCAGGCTCTTTCTGTCCTTCTGCAAGGCGGAAGAGGGGCCTCCAGGGGGGCCTAGCTGGCTTCCACGGGGCACCCAGGCACCCGCCTCTCCTCCTGTGGCCCCCGGGCTCCTCCTCCTCCATGGGCCAGATCCTGCGCTGCCCCCTCCCTGCAAGGCCCCCCCAGCCAGTCCTCTTCTCCTCTTTCCCGCAGGAGGCGGCTGCGCTGGCCTCGCAGCGCCCCCACGACCCCCGAGACTTCTTCCACCAGAGGGAACGCTCCGGCTCGGCGGTGGGGGCCCCAGAGTCGCCTTCTCCCACGGGAGGCCGGCCAGGTGAGTGGGGAACCCCCCAACTTTATTGGGGCGCTTCCTTAGAAAGGGGAGGGAGGTCCTGGCACAGCCTTGAACGGAGGGGGCGGTGGGGGCTGCAAAAATGCGTTGAGAGTTGGGTGCGAAATGCCAAGCTGGCGTCTGTGGCTGGGTGGGAGGCCGTCTGTCGGGGATCCTTTGGCTGGGATTCCTGCCAAAGCGGGCTGGACTAGATGGCCTCTGGGGTTCCCTTTCCACCCTGCAATCCTATGGCTCTGGCTTAGGGACCAGGAAAGTAGTGGGGGGGGGTTGGGGGGGAGAGCCACAGGGGCTCCTGCCTGTCCCCTTTCTGGCTGCTACTGGTTCTCCTGATTCTCTTGCCCCAATCCAATAATTAAAAAAACAACTTTTCTGCTTTGAACTGAAAGTGGCAGCCCTGGCCGCCTTTGCGAGTCGCAGCTCTTCTTCCTCTTCTGGGAAATCTCCCTCTTTCGCTGAAGCCAAGAAGCCTGCATTCGCTCCATAGGACGCCCAAACATTTCCCCTTCATTTTTGGAGGGGGGAAAGTGCATCCTATAGAGCGAAAAATACGGTACTTTCCCCCACTGCATCTGCCCAGCACCTGGCCGGAAATCTTTTCAGAAAGTTTTGGGTTGCCGTATTTTGAAGAGCGAAAAAGAGGACGCTGAGACGACTCTCGTTTTCAGTATAGATCAGGCACCCCCAAACTCGGCCCTCCAGATGTTTTGGCAATCCAACTCCCATCATCCCTAGCTAACAGGACCCCAGCGGTCAGGGATGATGGGATTTGTAGTCCCAAAACATCTGGAGGGCCAAGTTTGGGGGTGCCTGCTAGAGAGGCTGTGATCTATTGCGGGGGGAGAAGAGAAGAGGAAAGCAAGTCTTCAACCACCAGTTATGTCTCATCCAAAAAGTCTAGCTGGAGAGATTTTGGCAAATTTTAAAAATCCACCCAGACAGAAATTTTACCCCGGAAAAAGAGGATGTGTCCCAGAAAACAAGGACACATGGCAAACCTATAATTTTGTGTCTCTTTTCCCCTCGGATCAGGACCGCCGCGACGCCCTTTCCTCCGCCACCAGCGCAGCCTGACGGAATCGGCCTACATCTTCCGGGGACCGGATGCTGCCCCTGCCAGGCGCCCGTCCGGAGACTTCTTGCCCTCCCCTCGCTCCCCACAGGCGGCCCCTCTTCCCAGCCCCCGTCTCCCCAAAACCCCACCTGCCAGGAACCAGGACCCTGAGCCCAGAAGCCCCCCACCTCCGGCCCTGGAGAGCAGGACCCCCCTCGCCCCCTCCCCGCCTGGGGGGAGCCCGACCCCACTCCTGGCACCTGCCCTGCTGGACTCAGGGGACCCTGCCAGGACCCAGCCGCTTGCTGAGGCCTTGGCCCCCCCGGAGGCGCTCAGGGGACCCCCACCCCACACTCTGCCAGCAGAGTCTGGCCCCCAGTCCCCTTTCGCCCCGCATGGAGCAGAAGGGACCCCCTGCATCGGCCACAGTGATGGCATGGAGTCGCCCCTCCTGGGCAGCGCCCCCCGGGCAAAGTACCCACCTCCAGCCCACGTGCCCCACAGCCTCCCCACGGAAACGGGCTCAGCGGGGTCCTCTGCCCGGGGGGTAGCTTCTCCGCTCGGCAGCCCCCCTGAGGAAGCCCTGCCCCACGCTGAGGCCAGGGACCTCGCCTCCTTCCAGGGCCCCGATTTCGGAGGGACCCCCACGGCCGGTGCTCCTGAAGCGGTGGATGGATGCGAGTTTGTGGCTCCCCCACTGGGAAAGGATCCTGTGACAGGTCAGAAACCATTCCCACCCCCCACGTAGGGGGCAGTGCAATGCAAAAAGTCCACATTGCTTGCAGGATGCTGGAGTAGAAAGGGCCGGATCCTGCAAGCTCTTCCGCTGTTTCTTAGGAGAACCTTCGCTGGCCAAAACTGGCTGGAGACCCAGCCAGCCAAATAGACAGAGATTCTTGTTTTCTCAGGGCCAGATTTAGGTCTGATGTGGCCCTCAGCTCCTGAAGGTAACGGGGCCCTTTCTATGTCCAGCTGTCCTTTGTTCACAACAAATTGTTGCTGTTTTTTTGTGTTGGATAGATGCTATCTGGTCATTTATGGACCTCATAGGGATCTCAAGCCATTTGCACATAACAAAATATGTATTTTATCCAAGTAAAAAGCTTTTTATCTTATATTTTGTAAATGTACATCCAGGTGTTTTTTTCCTTTAATTTTTTTGGGGCCCCCCAAAAGAGTGGGGCCCTAAGTATAGCTTGTTTAGCTTATACAGTCATACCTCTTGTTACGTTTGCTTCAGGTTGTGCGTTTTCAGGTTGCGTCCCGCGGTGACCCAGAAGCACCGGAAAGGGTTACTTCTGGGTTTTGCCGCTCGCGCATGCGCAGACGCGCAAAATGACGTCACGTGCATGCGCAGAAACGTCGAATTGTGACCCGTGCGTGCGCAGACGCGGGTTGCATTCCTTTCAGATTGCGAACGGGGCTCCGGAACGGATCCCGTCCGCAAACAGAGGCACCACTGTACATAAATCCAGCACTAGGTGGGTGTGCCAAATTGGCACATGCCTTTTTCTTGGGGGGCGGGAAGGTTGGACGGCAGCAAGACCAGACTCTTCAGCCCCCTCTTCCCTTCACAGACCCTCTGCCAGCACCTGACTCAGCCCCATACTCTGGGTTCAACGGGACGTCCGCCTTGGAAGAGGAGAGCTGGCCCGCCGGGCAGGTAACGCACCTGTGGGCAGGTGGGGCTTGGGGGCGGAAGAGAAGGGGGCTTGGGGGCTTTTTGCTCAGCGAGTCTCTGCTTCCAGGGGACGCCGTCCGTCGAAGCCAAACTCCCCGAAGAATCAACCTGGGATCCCAGAGCAGGTGGGTTTCCTCTTTCTTCCCTCCCCCCGCCAGGTGATCTCAGTCCTACTTCACCCCCAAAAAATAAATCACTGCTTGTCTTTCCGCAGGTGGCAGCCAGGCCCCCAGAGCCGATTCCAGAGAGGAGGGCGAGGACCCCTCTCTGCCCACAGCAAGGGCTGGAGAAGACTAGTTCAAACACTTATGTGGACCCCCCATGGACTCCATTCCGCCCCCCCACCTGCTTGCTTTGGCTTGGATGAGCCCCCTCCTCACCTGCCCAAAGCCAACTGCTGCCACCCCCCTCCCAGAAGCAACTCTGCCCCTGCTTTTGTCTTGCCCAATAAAGGAAAAGTGGGAAGCTTGTCTTTGTGGGTCCTCTGTGGGGCAGGACTAGGGAAAGCCCCCCCAGCCCACAGGGAATGAATTGGGAGGCGGGGGAGAGCTGGGGGTGGAGGGAGGTTTTGCAGGGCTCCCTCCACCCTGAAGGGCAGAGCCTTAGGGGAGGCCGAGGGAGAGCAGGGGCTCTTGCCTGCAGACTGGGGGCTGTAACCCCCCAGGACTGGGGGCTGGGACTGTCTCCCCCTTTGAGCTCGTGCTGCAGCAGCTACAAAGGCGAATGTGATTCCAGGCTGCGTCGAGAAAAGTCAAGGGTCTTGAGATCAAGGGAAGAAATAGCATTGCTCTTTTCCGCCTTGGTCAGAGCGCAGCTGAAGTTCTGGGTGCCTCAGTTTAAGGTGGTTATGGACAAGCCGGAAGGAGGGAAACCAGGAGGACCAAGGCTGTGGAAACCAAGACGTATGAGGAATGGTTGAAGGAGCTGGGGATGTTGAGCCTGGAAGAGAGGAGCTACGATGATGTTGTTGTTTAGTCATTTAGTTGTGTCCGCCTCTTCGTGACCCCCTGGACCAGAGCACGCCAGGCACTTCTGTCTTCCACTGCCTCCCGCAGCTTGGTCAGACTCATGCTGGTAGCTTCCAGAACACTGTCCCACCATCTCGTCCTCTGTCGTCCCCTTCTCCTTGGGCCCTCCATCTTTCCCAACATCAGGGTCTTTTCCAGGGAGTCTTCTCTTCTCCTGAGGTGCCCAAAGTCTTGGAGCCTCAGCTTCAGGACCTGTCCTTCCAGGGAGCACTCAGGGAGCTACTATAGGTTTCTGCCTTGCGGGGGGTTTGACTAGATGACCGTGAGGACCCCTTCCAACTCTTCCATTCTGCAAAAAGCTGCAGAGTCAGAGCAGGCCGTCCTGGCTCAGAGATGACAAAAGCCCTGCTGGGCAGAAGATAAGGGCTTGCTCTGCTCCCTCGGGGGAGCCTTTCAGCCCTGTTCTCAAGTTTGTTTAAAATCATTTAAGGTTTATGATTTCTCTATTTCCTTCGGAGGAAACTGAATAGTTCAGTGAAACAAGGTTTGTAGCCGGCATCCCGTTAAGGCTTTGTTAATTCTAGGTTTCTCTAATTTTTTAATTTTTGTTATTTAGTTTAAGTCTATAGTCGATTACTTCTCGTTTCAGGGATTTTCATGGTATTTCGCTTGTTTTGTGCAATTTCAGAGATATGGGGCTAGCAGTAGCTCACTGGGCCTCTGCGGTGACGCTTGGGGGACCCCCAGAAAGCTCCCCTGAGCAGTTGGAGGGAGCAGGGAGCCCCACTGCCTCCGAGAAAACCCCCAAGAAAATACTTACGTTTATTTTGGGGGGTGGAGAGTGTCGAACAGCTCTACCCAGGCACCCAACACCCCAATTTTTCCAGGGATATAAAGTCTACCAAGGCCTCAGCATTGGAAGGAAGCAGGATGAAGATGGATAATTTTGGGGGACACCTGGCACCAAAGCCACCCAGCCTCTTTTGAAGCCCCCCCCATTCAATACACAGCCATACACACACAGTCCAGACCCCACCTCTCGCATTGACAATGGAATCGTTAAATACATTTTAATGCATAATAAAGGAAGAGGCAGGGTTGCCCCCGCCCCACAGATGGGGGGGTCACACCTGCCTACTTGGCAGCAAGCACCGCCCCTCCCCTCCTGAATTGGCACATATCCCTGAAACTCAGGGGGAGCGTTAGAAAAACGGGGGGCTGTCGGAGGGCAAGGTAGGCGGGGGTTGATCTTTGGGGCCACCGCTGGGGGTGGTGGAATTGGGGGGCGGCTTGCACAAAGGAACCAATACAAATGAGCTCCTGCTTCTGGCGGGGGAGATGCCAACCGGACCCCCCCTGCTTTTACGTTTATTTCCCCACCCCAAATTGTTCCAGTTTCTCAAAGGAAAAAGGTGCTTTTTCTCCCCTGCTGAAGAGGAGACTTGTGGGTCAGGATGGTTACACAGCCAGCCCCCCCATTGATTGGGAATTGGGGCATAAGAGCGCTCCCTACAGGCTGTGCCCCCCAAGTGGGGGGCAGCTGGTCCAGAAGTGAGGAGAGGGCCCTGATGGCTTGTTAGAGGATGGCGGGGAGGGGGACTGGAGCGTGTGGGGTGCTGGCCCCACATCAGGCCCTCTGCTCCGTCCTCCTGCAGTCCCCTGCTTCCAGTCTAGCGGACCTCTGGAGGCCCCAGCGCCCTCCCTCCTCAGACCTGGGACTGCAGCCACAAGCGGGGGTCAAACCGGGGCCGGGCGTGGGGCCGAGGGGGACGCTCAGGCTCCGGAGTGGGGCTGCCGCTGCTGCTGCTGGAGGAGCTGGAGCCGGAGGGGCCCCTGGCCCTGGGGGGCGGAGGCGGCCCCGGCGGGCGCCCCGAGCGTCCTTTCAGGGTGCTGAGCTTGGCGTCCAGGGAGAGGGTGCGGGGCCGGCCCCAGGGGGGGCGCGGCGGGGGGCACGGGCTGGCGCTGGAGACGCTGTCGCTGTCGGACGCTGCGCTGCACGACGACCCTTCCAGGAGGGACAGCCAGGGCGGGGGGCCCAGGCCAGAAAAGCGCCGGGCCAGGATCTCCGTCACGGCCTCAATGTCGTCCGCCGGCTCAATAGCTGGGGAGAAAAATAGGGCGGGGGGGGAGATTAGTGGAGGGGCCGTTGCAAAGGACCCCCAGAGGACAGAGGGGCAGGAGTCCCTTTCCATGCGCCTCCCAAGGGAAGCCGCACCCCAAAGCAAGGAACATCTGGAGCCAGGCTGGGCTAGCTGGGACCGGATGGAATCTGGCAGAAGCTTAGCTACAGTCACACCTCGGGTTACAGATGCTTCAGGTTGCGTTTTTTCAGGTTAGTAAAGGTAAAGGGACCCCTGACCATTAGGTCCAGTCGTGGCCAACTCTGGAGTTGCAGCGCTCATCTCGCTTTACTGGCCGAGGGAGCCGGCGTACAGCTTCCGGGTCATGTGGCCAGCATGACTAAGCCGCTTCTGGTGAACCAGAGCAGCGCACGGAAACACCATTTACCTTCCCACTGGAGCGGTACCTATTTATCTACTTGCACTTTGACGTGCTTTTGAACTGCTAGGTGGGCAGGAGCAGGGACCGAGCAACAGGAGCTCACCCCGTCGCGGGGATTCGAACCGCCGACCTTCTGATCGGCAAGTCCTAGGCTCTGTGGTTTAGCCCACAGTGCCACGGACCGCCAAAACCCAGAAGTACAGGAACGGGTTACTTCCGGGTTTCAGCTGTTGCATATGCGCCTCCTGCAAGGATCACGTTCTCAACCTGAGCGTCTACTGTATTGGCTTCACCTAACTCAGATCACCCCCGGTTTAATATCCCTGGTGGTGCAAAATTGTCACAAGAGTGCCTGGATTAAAACGGTCTATCGAAAACTTCCCTCTTGTGGTTTATCCCCAAAACAGCTACTTTGGGTTTTAGTAAAGCCAACAGTCCAATTTGCCTAAATGATCTTGAGCATCGGAACAACTTGGCCACGATAAGGAAATTTTGCCCAGGGCATGACTATTTTCCACCTTCCCATTTCGACTCTCTGGCACCCTCTCTGCATAACTGAGCAATTCCAAAATATACACGTGCTGTCTTGGCTTCTTTGCTCTTTGGAGCTGGGGGGGGGGGGAATAAAAGTTTCCCCCTTTATTTCCCCCCCAAAAAAACTAGGTGTGCCCTATGGTCCGGTGCGCCCTATGGAGCGAAAAATACAGTATGTTAAATGTTCATAAGTGTACCAACCAAGCACATACATAGATCAGCACAGGAAGACCTGAAACCATTTTGATTCCCAAACTGACCAAATGTTTTCTCTGCAAGGTCAAAGAAAAATGAAAAAGCCTCCCCATTGTCTTTTTCTTCACAAATCCTGTGTTTGAATAGGGTGAGCTTGTGACCTGGCTCAGGAACTAAGTATTGATCATTACAAAAGACTGGCCAGGCTCCCCAGGCAATCCAGTCAAGTGACCATTAAACAGGTAACCTGGCAGACAGGAGATAAACAAAGCACTCAGATTTCTGCTGTAGACCACCTTTTCCGTGATGTAGGTATGATGTATCTGGGGGTGGTCTTAGGTTACACCCCTTCTGTGATGTATGTATGATGTATGGAGGGGTGGTCTGGAGCTCCAGGGCAGGCAATTTAAAATGTCTATATAAGGGCAGACACACCTTGGTTCTGGGTCCTCCTCCCTCCTGCGTGTGGGGAGTGAGGACCCTGTTGCAACAGATCAATAAAGATCAGGCTTACAAGCTGCTTTGCTTCTCAATATTCTCTGGTTGGCCTCTGTTCTTTTCTCCTACCAATAGGGAACCTACGTAAGGACTCTATATGGGCTCTTGGATACCCCATAAGGGGGAAAAGGCAGATTTTGTTTACAACATACACATAAATGGAGGCGCCCACTGGGTCCAACTGCCCACAGCCCCCGCCAGCCCCCTTCCCTGTCAGTGGGAGATCCCAGGGGCTCTGCCGGTGTCTCCGCTGCCCACCCCTCTCTACACAAAGGGTACTCCTGCCTCCTTCACCCTCTACCTACCTCCCTGCCAGCCAGCCCCCCCCCCATTTTGGGAACCCAGAGGACCCCTCCCCACCCCGTCCAGCTTTGGGTGGGGGTTACGTCACCTGTCGCTGTAATACGAGGAGAGGAGAGCTCGAATCTCGGCAGAGACAGCGTTGTCCTGCAACAGCAGCCCCTCGCAGTTGGGGGGCGGCCCCCCTGGGCCAGGGAGAGCTGGGGGTGGGGGTAAGGGGTCGGGGACAGGACAGAGAAGAAGAGGAAGAGAAGGGGAGACATGCAAAGAGAGAGAGAGCAGGAGGAGAGCAGAGAGTTACAGACACAGATACATCTGGGCACAAGCAAGGTGTGGGGCAGCCCCACAGAAACCGGGGGGGCAAGACAGAGCCCCAGAGACAGGCAGGAAGAAAAGGGCAGAAGGAGGTGAGACCCTCTTGCCTCCCCACCGTGAGTTCAGGGGGGCCCTAATCCACCAGGCCCACCCCTCAGAGCCCCCTCTGTTCCCTTCAGCCCCCCAACCCTCCCCGCTTCTGCGGACCCCCTTCTCTGGAGACTCACCCATTTCGTGGTAGAGGGAGCCTTGCTTCTGCAAGAGGGCCATGGGGCGCCGTGGGGAGGGGACCTCCACCTTCATGAGCTCATCGCAGCAGTGCTTCCACTGGCCTGGGGGGGGGGGAGAAGATTGCAGGGGGGGGCGACTTCAGTGAAATAGTTAAGCCCCACCCCACATAACTGATCACAAGACATGGCGCCCGTTCACTATCACCATCAACTTTGGGGGGCTGCCGCTCAAATACTTTAAGGGGGGGGCTGAAGGAACCTCAGCCCCTATGAGTTGGCTCACATGCCAGGGACCCCCTCCCACTTTGCTGGGCGTCTGTGGGGCAGGCAGGGGGCGCTGTGCTGCCCCCTAGTGGTCTCCCCACGTGCACCAGAGGACAGGACCCCCTCTGGCCGACCCAGAAGGTTTTAGGCCAGGGGTCAGCAACCTTTTTCAGCAGGGGGCTGGTCCACTGTCCTTCAGACCTTGTGGGGGGCCGGAATATATTATGGGAAAAAAATTGAATGAATTCCTATGCCCCACAAATAACCCAGAGATGCATTTTAAATAAAAGGACACATTCTACTCATGTAAAAACACGCTGATTCCCGGACCGTCTGTGGGCCGGATTGAGAAGGCAATTGGGCCAGATCCGGCCCCTGGGCCTTAGGTTACCTACTCATGGCAGCCTTTCTCAGCCTGTGGGTCCCCAGATGTTGTTGCACTACAACTCCCATCACCCCTCGCTAGCAAGGCCAGAGCTCAGGGATGATGGGAGTTGTAGTGCAACAACATCTGGGGACCCACAGGTGGAGAACCCCTGGATTAGGGGCTGCAACTGTCCTTCTTTAGCCCCCCCCATCTACTAGGAAGGGCAGGGGCTTCTCAAGAGCCTCCTAGCATGGGAGGGGGTGGCTGGATTGGGGCCTCCACGGTCCAGCTCAGCTTCTCCCTCGCCTCCCTTGTCCTGCCACGACCCCCTTGCGAGGCAGGACAAGGGTGCAGTGGAAGGGCAGAGCAAGAGAGGGCACTGTTGCCCCTGATCTCCCCCCCACGTGTTTCCACATCCCCCGTCTCACTTCCCCTACTCACTCATGTCATAAAAGTGCTGCCAGAAGGCTTCCATCCAGCGCTGCGTCTCGGAGCGGGACTCGGCCAGCAGCGTGTGGGTCACCTCCTCCCCCCCATAGCGGTTCGTCACGGACATGGTGTGCAGTTGGTTCTTGGGGTCCTTCTCTGTGGCTCGGATGCGCGTCTCCTGGGGGGGGTGCAAAGGGGCCTCAGGCACGGAAATGTGCGCATGTGCAGACACACCCAGAGACGCCCAGGGAACCCCCAAGGAAGGGGGAGGTTGGAAGATTCAGGACAAAGAAAGCGCTTCTTCACACAGCGCAGAGTTAAATGGTGGAACTCCCTGCCACAGGAAACGGGGGGGGCACCAACCTAGATGGCATTTATAGAGGACTAAACCAGGCATAGGGACGCGGATGGCGCTGTGGGTTAAACCACAGAGCCTAGGACTTACCAATCAGAAGGTTCAAATCCCAGCGACGGGGTGAGCTCCCGTTGCCCGGTCCCTGCTCCTGCCAGCCTAGCAGTTTGAAAGCACATATGTGCAAGTAGATAAATAAGTACCGCTCCGGCGGGAAGGTAAATGGCATTTCCGTGCGCTGCTCTGGTTCGCCAGAAGTGGCTTAGTCATGCTGGCCACATGACCCGGAAGCTGTACGCCAGCTCCCTCGGCCAGTAAAGCGAGATGAGCGCCACAACCCCATATAGCGGTACCTATTTATCTACTTGCACTTTGAGGTGCTTTCGAACTGCTAGGCTGGCAGGAGCAGGGACTGAGCAACGGGAGCTCACCCCGTCGCTGGGATTTGAACCTTCTGATTGGTAAGTCCTAGGCTCTGTGGTTTAACCCACAGCGCCACCCGCGTCCCTATGCCTGGTTTAGTCCTCTGCTGATGGCAACTGTCCAAAGGCAGACGTGGGGAGATTAATGTGCACTTTTTACAAATGGGAAGAAACGGGGATGGGGGGCTGTGAGCTGGGCTGGGAAGAACCATCATCAGTCGCAAAGAGTGAGTTTCAAAAACGGCAAGGTCTCCGTTTTTACACTGACATCCCTGACACACGACACAGAAGGACAGACCCCGGGCTGTGCTGCCAATTGAGAGTCATAGACTGGTAGCATTGGGACCCCCAGGGGTCATCCAGCCCAACCCCCCGCAAGGAAGGAATCGCAGCCGAAGGCGGAGGCAGCTGTTGCATTCAAAACATGCTTAGTTGGCAACTGTGGATGAGAAGGATGGAGCAAAGGCTGGGGGGGGGGACAAGCAGGGGCATCACAAGTGGGGTGCGGGGGTGCGGTCTGCCCTGGGTGTCATGCCTGGGGGGGGTTGACAAAATCCCCCCCCCCGGGCAGATTGGCATGGCGGCGCTGGCACCCCCGGCGGACGGATTTCTGTGATTGGCACGATCGCCGTCAAGAAAATCTGCAAATACACACGGCGTGCGGCGCTGGTCGCCAGGGATGCACCCCCCCAGTGGGCACCATTCGCATCCCCCCCCCGGCGAGCGGAGCTCACATCCCCAGCGGGCAGCGCCAGGCCTATTTGCCCAATCAGCGGGCAGTGCTGGCACCCCTGGGAGGTGCACATCATGGTTTTCCCCCAAAAAATGTTTTATTCATTTTATAACGAATATAAAGAACACAAACAGAAAAACAAACAATACAAAAATTCTCATCATATCCTTATTTTTCTAAACATTGTTATGTGGGCTTCCCCAAGTCCCACCTATCTGATTTCCATTTTACTCCATCTTTAGCAATTTACATATATCACAATTTCTAACCATTTTTTTTTATCACTTACTTTAACCATAAAAAACTTTATCACTTACAAATAATACTATTTTAAAATACACTGTCTTCAACTTCTAACCCTACAGCCTCTGCCAAATCTAGTCTAAGATTTAAATGTAAATGCATTTTTTCAAATATTCCTTAAACTTCTTCCAATCCCTGTTTGCCACTCTGGGTGCCCAAGCAGTTTCCTCCGCCACCAGGGACCCCCAATGTTTTGCCCCCCAACCTGCTCTGAGACATCACCCCCCTACCTTGTTGATAGCAATGGTGAAGGCCGGCTCCTCCTGCGTCTCGACGTCTTTGGGGTGCCGGTAGCAGAGGAGGTTGGAGCCCCGCAGGAGGCAAAAGAGCCGCAGCCAGCCCTGCTGCTCCCCCTGCTGCAAAACGGGGGGGGGGAGAGGGGGTGTTGTGTTTAGCAGGAGGGAGACCCACACGCCATCTTCCCACATTCATCCCTCCCCAGGACGGGCGCTGTCGGTCTTCCCTCCCTGCCCCTCAAATCCCTTTCACCCATGCTCGGAAACCCCTTCTGGGTGGTGGGGGGGCATAGCCCCATAGCAGAAACGCTCCGACTGGAAATGAAGCTCCGTTGGGAGAGAACAAGCCTCATAGCAGCATCGGCTCTCATTTTTTCCCCTCTGGGCCACACTTTCAGAATTTTTGTTGTTGTTGTAAAATAAAAATAAAAAATAAAATAAAATAATTGTATACCATCCTGTACCCACAGGTAAAAAAAATTACTTGTGCCATACCAAGTTTTTTACTGATAAAAAATACATTGGAAAAGAGAAAGAAAAAACTCCTAGCAGTGTCTGATTTATAACATAGAACACAACTACCGTATTTTTCGCTCCATAAGACGCACCTAGTTTTTAGAGGAAGAAAACAAGAAAAAAAATATTCTGAATGAAACAGTGGATGTATGATTTTTGTGGTTCATGCTGTGGCCACAGACATATGATTTGACGGTGAGTTTGGGGTAGCCCAATGCAAAAATCCTGAGGATCCATGTGGATCTGTGCTTTGTAACCACGTTTTTGCGCCATTGCGGCCCCACACAACAGTGGGTGCGTGGTTTTTTTGGTGCAAGATGTAGCCATGGACATGCTATGTGATCTGATGGTGAATTTGGGGTGACCCGATGCAAAAATCCTGAAGATCCATGGGCTTTTACCTCCCCCCTCCCAGGCAGCCTCCGCTAGCATCCCTTATCTCTCTTCCGATCCCACCGATCAGCTGCTTCCTTTCAACACTCCCTTCCCTCTTGTTTGCCTTAGTGTCTTTTCCTTAGCTGGAACAGTTTTTTGCTCCTCCCTTTCTTCTAATTTCTCTCCTTATTGATTTAGTCTTCCTGCTTCCCCCCTTTGCAAGTTTGCTGTCTTTACCTCCCCCCTCCCAGGCAGCCTCCTTTATCTCTAGCGTCTCTTATCTCCCTCCTGATCGCTTGCCCATCAGCGGCTTTGTTTCAACACCCCCTTCCCTCTTTCTAAAAAAAAAAAAAAAGCAGGATCTGCTTTTTGCCCCTGGGCAATTCGGCTCCAGCGACCATGCATTCGCTTCATAAGACGTGCAGACATTCCCCCTTACCTTTGAGGAAGAAAAAAGTGCGTCTTATGGAGCAAAAAATACGCTATTTATTATTCCTTCCTCAGGTTTGTGAGTTCAGCAGAGTACATCCCTTTGCAGATTTAAAGGGGAGCCATATGATCCTGGGAATCCAGAAAGCGTAAAACAATGCAGCTACATAAGGATATGAGTCATTCCTCAAATATAATTACAAACAAGCCTCTTCCATATGTACCCTAAGTATGTATATGATCTCAGTGAGAGACATGAGCTTCCTTTTGCTGGGTAATCTCATTTCTATTCAGTCTAATTTGAGACAATCAGGGTCTCGTCTCCTCATTGACACAAAGAAGCCTTTCTACCCATATTCGGCAAATAAAAAAAAACATTTTGACACTATACTATGCTGCCCTGAAATGCTCAAATGTTTCCTTGCATCTTCCTGCCACCCCCTTGGGAGCCACAGCACCACAGAGTAAGGACCGAAGAGAAGACTGCAGGATGAGGCCAAGGGGAAACCAGCAAGCCGGACCCGAGTGCGAGAGTAGCCCTCTCCCCTCTGTGTGTCCTGGAAGAAGTTGCTGTGAACTAGCTCCACCTCTCTTTCAAATCAGAACCAGTGAAGGAGGTGAAGGTCCTGTGTGAGTGTCTGGAGGCGGATGGAGGATGGATGGCGGCTAACAGATTGAGGTTGAATCCTGACAAGACAGAAGTACTGTTTTGGGGGGACAGGAGGTGGGTGGGTGTGGAGGACTCCCTGGTCCTGAATGGGGTCACTGGGCCCCTGAAGGACCAGGTGTGCAGCCTGGGAGTCATTCTGGACTCACAGCTGTCCATGGAGGCACAGGTCAATTCTGTGTCCAGGGCGGCTGTCTGCCAGCTCCATCTGGGACACAGGATGAAACCCTCCCTGCCCGTGGACTGTCTCGCCAGAGTGGTGCATGGTCTGGTTATCTCCCGCTTGGACTACTGCAATGCGCTCTGTGTGGGGCTACCTGAGAAGGTGACCTGGAAACTACAACTAATCCAGAACGCGGCAGCCAGACTGGTGACTGGGAGCGGCCGCCGGGACCACATAACTCCAGTTATGTGAAAGATCTGCATTGGCTCCCAGTACGTTTCCAAGTGTTGGTGCTGACCTTGAAAGCCCTAAAAGGCCTGAGCCAAGTATACCTGAAGGAGCGTCTCCACCCCCATCATTCTACCCGGACACTGAGGTCCAGCTCCGAGGGCCTTCTGGTGGTTCCCTCACTGTGAGAAGCCAAGTTACAGGGAACCAGGCAGAGAGCCTTCTCGGTGGTGGCGCCCGCCCTGTGGAACACCCTCCCGTCCACGGCTTCTTTTGAAGGAAATGCCACATTGTGCCGGTTTAGCTCAGCACAGGAACTGACTGAGTGGGCAGCAGGGTCCGCGGGCCGGATTTACAGGCCTGGTGGGCCACATCCAGCCCATGGGCTGTAGTTTGCCGACCCCTGAATTAGATCGTTATAACGAAAGAAATAAATCTATATAGAAAACTGTCTTTTAAAATTCCCTGCTCTCTTGCACCCCCTGGTGCGGCATGTTTATAGCACATCCAAATCGCTGCATCTTTCCTAATGTAGCTGAGCAGAGAGACGGAGCGAGAGAGAAGGGGTGGAGGGGAATCAACCCGTCTCCTGAGCGCATGGCTCTCGATGCGCCTCTGCCCGGGGGTGTGGGTCCCAAAACGCGGGTCCCCTGCCTTCTCAGCCCTTCCCTACCTGCAGCGCCCCCCCAGCACTTACCTGCACCTTCAGGAAGCCGCACATGACCTGGTGGAGCATGCAGTTGGGCTGGGCTGCCAGGCGACAGCAGACGCTGCCGTACAGGGGGAGCCAGAAGGAGCTCTCCTCTAGGTGGGGGGGGGGGGAGAGAAGAGGAGGGGGTCAGGGGGAGGCAAGTCTGAGCCCCAAAAGAGGGACGAGGGGGCAGGGGGCTTCGTCCCTCCTGGAAAAGAGAGGCCACTTGTCCACCTACATTGGCGGAACTGGTTCAGCGGCAGCAGCTCCACAAAACGTCAAGAGACGTCGGAACTCCCCGCCACTTGACTCTGGACTCTTTTGGGAGCCTCCTGAAAACAGTCTTGCACTTTGACATGCTTTCAAACTGCTAGGTTGGCAGGAGCAGGGACCGAGCAACGGGAGCTCACCCCGTCGCGGGGATTCGAACTGCCGACCTTCTGATCGGCAAGCCCAAGGCTCTGTAGTTTAACCCACAGCGCCACCCACGTCATTATTATTATTATTATTATTATTATTATTATTATCATTAAACCACAAGTTTTAAAACATACAAAAAGTTGAAACACTAAAAGAGATTAAAACCTGCATCAACTTTCCAAACATCTGGACAGACTTGTCTAATCAGGAATGATTTTAGCGCTTTCCGTGTCTGCGCAAAACCCTCAGAACCAAACCGGACTCTGGAACGTTCCTGCTCCCGCAAACCCAAACCCAACACCCCCCAAAAAACCCCTGCTCCAAGTACCGTTCCCGGTGACGGCGAGGTCGTGGGTGCGAAAGGCGTCCTGGACGTGGGCCAGGCGCAGGGTGGTGCAGGCCAGCAGCTGGTACTTGGGGCCCCTGGAAGGAAACAGAGGCAGGTGAGCCTGGAGGGGGCGGGCAGCGGGTGCGAATTCTGTGGAAGACGACCGGGCGCCGGGCCCAGGATACTCACGCCACGCTGGGGGCTGGCAGCTGGAGGGGGCTGCTTCCCCCGTTGCTGACGGGGCTCCCGGGCACCCCGTCCAGGGCGGCACGGACCCTCTTGCCGGACGAGCGCCCCAGGGAGCTGCTCAGGCGGCTGGCCAGCTTCTTGGGGGTGCTGCCCAGGACAGAGTCCTCCTCCAGGCCGGCGCTGTACAGCTCCACCTTCAGCTCAAAGTCCGGACCGGCCTCCGTGCTGGGGGGGGAAGAGACAAAGCGGGGGGCACAGGCATGAAAGGGGGGCGCTCCCAGGCAGCCCAGAAGGTCACCCGAGGAAGGACTTCGAATATAAAATGCAACTTACAGCACGAGAGAGGATACAGAACTGGAAGGAGATAGCATGTTACAGGTGAAACTCGGAAAATTAGAATGGAAAAGTTCATTTATTTCAGTAATTGAATTTAAAAGGTGAAACTAATATATGAAGCTAATTCATCATGCCAAAGGCTGGGCTGAATGAATCCCAAGCCGGAATTAAGATCGCCGGAAGAAATATCAACAACCTCAGATATGCAGATGACACAACCTTGATGGCGGAAAGTGAGGAGGAATTAAAGAACCTTTTATTGAGGGTGAAAGAGGAGAGCGCAAAATATGGTCTGAAGCTCAACATCAAAAAAAATGAAGATCATGGCCACTGGTCCCATCACCTCCTGGCAAATAGAAGGGGAAGAAATGGAGGCAGTGAGAGATTTTACTTTCTTGGGCTCCATGATCACTGCAGATGGTGACACCAGTCACGAAATTAAAAGACGCCTGCTTCTTGGGAGAAAAGCAATGACAAACCTAGACAGCATCTTAAAAAGCAGAGACATCACCTTGCCGACAAAGGTCTGTATAGTTAAAGCTCTGGTTTTCCCCGTAGTGATGTATGGAAGTGAGAGCTGGACCATAAAGAAGACTGATCGCCGAAGAATGGATGCTTTTGAATTGTGGTGCTGGAGGAGACTCTTGAGAGTCCCATGGACTGCAAGAAGATCCAACCTCTCCATTCTGAAGGAAATCAGCCCTGAGTGCTCACTGGAAGGACAGATCCTGAAGCTGAGGCTCCAAGACTTTGGCCACCTCATGAGAAGAGAAGACTCCCTGGAAAAGACCCTGATGTTGGGAAAGATGGAGGGCACAAGGAGAAGGGGACGACAGAGGACGAGATGGTGGGACAGTGTTCTTGAAGCTACCAGCATGAGTTTGACCAAACTGCAGGAGACAGTGGAAGACAGGAGTGCCTGGTGTGCTCTGGTCCAGGGGGTCACGAAGAGTCGGACAGGACTAAACAACAACAAAAAATATATGAGATAGACTCATGACATGCAAAGCGAGATATGTCAAGCCGTAGAGAATCTATGGGGCATTGCCAAGAGAAGGATGAGAGACATGAGACCCAGCAATGCAGAAGAGCTGAAGGCTGCTATTGAAGCATCCTGGTCTTCCATAACACCTCAGCAGTGCCACAGGCTGATAGCATCCATGCCACGCCGCATTGAGGCAATAATTGATGCAAAAGGGTCCTAAACCAAGCACTGAGTACATGTGCATGCTTCTACCTCTCAGAGGTCCAATATTGCTCTATTTGCAGTCCTTGTTTTGCCGATTTCATTTAATATTCTAATTTTCTGAGATTGTTAATTTGGGGTTTTCATCAGCTTTATGCCATGATCATCACAATTATAACAAAGAAAGGCTTGACATATCTCGCTTTGCATGTCATGAGTCTGAAATAAATGAACTTTTCCACGATATTCTAATTTCCCGAGTTTCACCTATACATTTGGAAAGAAAATTATATGAAAACTCCTCGGCCAACCAGGGACTCTTCAGCCGCGGTTGGGCTGGAATCTCAGGGGTGGCCGACTCTCAAGAGATTGTGATCTACTTTCAGAATTTTTTTGGGGGGGGCTCAGCTCAAAGTTGTTGAGCTTTTTTGGGAAGGAAAGCCCCGTTTTTAGGGGTTCAGCTCAGTGTTGTTGTTTTTTAATGTATTTTTTATTAACAGCTCAATGTTGTTGAGCCAGAGATTGAGTTGACCGTGATCTACCAAAACCTCATGGGGATCTACCAGTAGATCGCGGTCAACCTGTTGGATATCCCTGGGCTAGATCATGGGTAGGCAAACTAAGGCCCAGGGGCTGGATCCGGCCCAATCGCCTTCTAAATCCGACCCGCGGCGGGCTGGGAATCAGCGTGTTTTTACATGAGTAGAATTTAAAATGCATCTCTGGGTTATTTGTGGGGCATAGGAATTCATTCATATTTTTTTTCAAAATACAGTCCGGCCCCCCACAAGGTCTGAGGGACAGTGGACCGGCCCCCTGCTGAAAAAGTTTGCTGACCCCTGGCCTAGATGGCCCCTAGGGGGTCCCTTCCGATAAAATACGATATGATAATCTTTTATTGTCATTGTCCCATACAGAACAACGAAATTGAAAAATCATTCTATGCATCACTTAAGTACCTGTCTGAGCCAGCCAACCCTTTCTGCCCCCCAGGGTCCCACCCCCGCAGATCTCCGGACCCCCAAGGACAAAAAAAACCCTCTCTTCCCCCCCAAATGCCAAAGAACCCAGAGCCCCCAAAATCCCCTTTTAAAAATCCAACTCTTGTAACATTGAAAGATTCCGGGGGAAAGGAGAAACACCGCTTTCTCCGCACGGATCCTTTTTCAAGACTTGCCGCCTCCCGCACGGCCGTGGGGACCCCCAGGTTTCTGCCCCAAGGGGGCAGGCAGTGGGGCAGGGACTCACAAGAGGATGGTGCTCTCAAAGCAGATGTCGGTCAGGGTCCGATCCACCAGCACCATCTCCGTGTCGTAGATTTCCGGGCCGATCTGAAGCAGGCAGAAGACGGCGCAGCGATGCAGCTCTGCCAAGGAAAGAGGGGCATTTAGGTGGCACCAGCACCTCTCGGACCCCCAAGCCCCAGCCAGCCCCACAAGGCCCAGGGAGGGAGAGGGGAAGAAGAAGAGTTGGCTTGGCAAGGAGGTGCCCAGCGGCTTCGGAAGTGGGTGCCCGGCTCAGATCGTGGGGCGTTCGAACACCGCCAGAGGCGCCATGCGCAGGAAGCAAAGGCATGCGCCGTCGGAGGGGCCACCACCAAGAAGGACTCACCGCCCTTGTTCTTGAAATATTCCGTGTCCTTCCACATCAGTGGGATCCGGAGGTCTGGAAAGAGGAGGAGATACAACATCATGTCTTATTCTGTGAAAAGCTTCCAATGATGTTGTATAAATATCTGGTACTTTTAATTGTTATTTTCTTTTTCTTTTCTTGTTACTTTTAAACTATTTGTACTCCCCCCCCAATTTTTTGTATTGATTTTCCAAAAAAAAATTAAACAAACAAACATAAATCTCAACCAAACTTAGTAACATTGTTAAGTGATTTCCTCGTAACCCCCTGGTTGAATTTCAGTGTATATCATTTTAACGATTTTCCAAATCCAATATTCTTATAAAATTAACTTAATCACTTAACATCTTTCTTTCTTTCCAGTTCAGCATTAAACTTATTAATTCAACATATTACATATTTAAGTCCTAAGCCTATCTGGTATTTGCAAGCTTTTCCAATTAATTTAACTGAACATATTTCACTAAATAGTTAAACTTTTTGTACTTTTTGATGTGGAGAATTCTTCCCCCCCCCCCCTTTTCTTTTTTCTTTTCCTTTTTTTCCTTTTCTGTGCTTAACTTTGTCGTACTTACCTTTATTGTAAGGCTGTATTTTAAACCAATAAAGATGTATTTATAAAAATTTTAAAAAGTAAAGAGGAGATAAAGATTTGCATCCCCAAATGTGTCCAGGAGGGCAGAGGAGAGAGGCCTGCAGGTAACACAGTGGGGGCCCAGACATCTACGCCAGGGGGTCCCCAAGTGGGGGCCACGAAGGGGCAGGGAGGTGCCAGGAAGAGATAACAAAGGCTATTAAAAAGATGAAAGCTGAGAAGGCGCCGGGACCGGACGGCCTTCCGGCCAAATATTATAAAACATTAATTAACCAAATATCACCAGTGCTGGGAGAGGTTATGAACAATATATTGAGAGAAGGAAAGATACCTAATACCTGGAAGGAAGCCTATGTTATATTGATCCCTAAAAAAGAGGTGGACACTATGGAAGTAAAGAACTATAGGCCAATCTCATTATTAAATAATGATTATAAGCTATTTGCAGACATAATGGCGGAAAGATTAAAGAAGGTCTTGATTAATAAAATTCATGGTGATCAATCAGGATTTCTCCCAGGGAGACAATTACGGGACAATGTAAGGAATTTGATTGACATTATTGAATACCTGGACATGAAAATAGACAGAAAAGCCGCACTGGTTTTCATAGACGCCGAAAAGGCATTTGATAATGTTTCCTGGAACTTCCTAAAGAAGGCTTTGGAAAGGATGGGAATTGGCGAAAAATTTAGAAGAGGCATAGAAGCAATATACAAAGAACAGAAAGCAAAGCTGGTGATAAATAACAATACAACAGAATATTTTAACATTTATAAAGGGACCAGACAAGGTTGCCCCTGTCCCCCTTATTATTTATTGTAATTTTGGAAGTACTTAATAAGAGACTGAGGGAGGCAACAGAAGTGAAAGGAATTAGAGTAGGAAAGAAGGAATTCAAAATTAAAGCCTTTGCCGACGATATTGTTTTGACTTTGGAAGATCCACAAGATAGTGTAAAAGAAGCATTACAAAAAATTGAGGAATTTGGAGAGGTGGCAGGTTTTAAGGTAAACAAGAATAAAACTAAAATGCTGGTTAAAAATTTAACTAAGGAAGAAACGAAAGATCTAGAACAAAAAGTGGAAATCATGGTGGTGAAAAAAGTGAAATATTTGGGAGTGTGGATTACGGCAAAAACATAAACCTATATAAAGATAATTATGAAGTTACATGGAAAAAAATAATGAAAGATCTGGAAATATGTGGGAGGATGAAATTTTCCTTTTTAGGGAAGATAGCAGTGGTTAAAATGAATGTTTTGCCGAGGATGTTGTTTTTATTTCAAACTCTTCCAGTTATTAAAGGTCTAAAACAATGTAAAGAATGGCAGAGAACCCTGATGAAATTCATCTGGCAGGGGAAAAGACCAAGGATTAAAATGAAAATACTAATTGATAAAAAGGAAAGAGGAGGTTTTGCCCTCCCAGATTTGAGCCTATATTATGAAGCAGCGTGCCTACTTTGGTTAAAAGATTGGATAAAATTGGAGAACAGAGACCTACTGGATTTAGAAGGTTTCAATAACCGGTATGGGTGGCACGCATATCTCTGGTACGAGAAGGTGAAAGTCCACAGGGCTTTCTTAAACCATATTTTCAGGGGACCAATATATCAGGTCTGGGAAAGAAATAAGAACCTTCTCGAAAGAAAAACACCATGGTGGATTTCACCAGTAGAGGTCTTAACACTAAAAAACCAACATGGAAGGGAAGACAGCCACCTACGAAGATTTGCTAAGAAAATCAGAACAAGGGCTTAAACTTAAACCGTATGAGGAAATAAAGGATCAATTCACCGGCTGGCTACAATATCATCAGGTGAATGATATGTTAAAACAAGATAAAAGAAAAATGGGCTTTGAGGACAAGAAATCAAAATTCAATATAGAAATAATAGAAGGCAAAAACAAAACATTGTCTAAATTATATGACATATTACTGGAATGGCATACAAAAGACGAGGAAGTCAAAGAGGCAATGATTAAATGGGCAATTGACTTCGGTTATAACATCGAGTTTGAAAAGTGGTTGAAATTGTGGAATAGAGACATTAAATTTACGGCCTGTACGAGTTTGAGAGAAAATGTTTGGAAAATGCTCTATAGATGGTATCTTACGCCGGCAAAATTGGCTAAAATCTATAGATCAGAAAATAAGACATGCTGGAAATGTGGTGAAGGGGAGGAGACCTCTACCATATGTGGTGGCAATGCAGCAAGGTGAAGGTTTTTGGGAAGCAATTTATAATGAACTTAAAAAGTTTTTAAATACACTTTTCCCAAGAGACCTGAGGCCTTTTTGCTGGGAATAATGGGTAAGGAAATAAAAATGAAGATAAAAAATATTTCTCTATGCCACCACAGCCGCAAGAATTATGCTGGCACAAAACTGGAAAATAGAAACTATTCCTAACATAAGTGACTGGCAGGTCAAAATGATCAACTATGCCGAGCTAGATAGATTAACAGGCAGAATACGAGACCAAGACGACCAGAAATTTCAAAAAATTGGAGTAAGTTTTGGAAATATATTGGAACGGATATATAGGAGGAGCTGGCGGTATTAGAAAAACTTTATCAGCTAATAACTATAAACTTTAATAAACTAATTACGCAACCCGGGACTTATTTGATACTTACCAAAAGGGTGAAGGGAAGTCAAAGGCTAAGGAGAGCCTACTGGTTATATTATTATTTTTGTATGAACGTATGCTTTCTTTTTGTATAGTATGAAAATAGGATGAATAATTTATGTTAAAATGTTTATTTTTGTATTTGTTAGTTCTTTTTTCTTTTCTTTATACAAATTCTGAATAAAAATTTACTTGCGAAAAAAAAAAAAAGGAAAACTGGTCCAGCGATGATACACATGTGGTGGAATTGCAGGAAAATAAGGGAATTTTGGGACTCAATATATATAATAAGCTCAAAAAGATGTTTAAAATCTCTTTTTTTGGGGGGGGGGAAACGCCGAAGCCTTTCTACTGGGTATAACAGGTATGGATATTCCCAAAAATATGAGGAATATGGCAGCAAGAATCTTAGTAGTTAAAAACTGGAAAGGAGACTCTATTCCAACCAAAATGGATTGGCAGACAAAATTATTAGAATTTACAGAATTAGCAAAGATGACAATAAGAATTAGAGATAATATAGACCAAACGTTTATTAGAAAGTGGGATATTTACAGAAAATATCTGAAAGAGCATAGGACCCCGGTAGAGACAAAGAAAATCTTATAAAAATAAGGATATGGGATAAGATGGGAGTGATAACGAAAAGTGTGCTCCATAACAGAAACCCGGAACCTTCGATGGTGTGACTGGAAGTCATAATGGAAGCAGCGTTGTAAGAAATCCATTTACTTTTTGCAATTTGTATTATCCTTTGGCTTTTCGTTCGTTGACAGTTTTTTCTTTTTTAAACTAATAAAGCAATTTTTTAAAAAAGGAAAACTGGTCTGACGGAATCAAGAGCTTCCATTTTGTGGAATTAATTAAACTCAATAGCTGAAATTGGATTTTGGAGGCATGTGCAATTAATTGTCACCGTTTTGAATTTGTTGCCTTATGGCCACCCTTGGCGGGTCGTGCAAGCTGCTATGTTCTGAATAATGTTCTTATTCCGCTGGGAACAAAAGGGGTGGGACCCCCAAAATGTCTGGGAGCTGATCTAAAGCATGGATGTGCCTTTGGTCTCCTCCAGAACATGCCTCAAGCATTCTTTACAAATCAGTAACAATTCTTGAAAGCCAATTATAGGGGCAATATAGAATCACAGAAGGGATCCCCCAGGTCATCTAGTCCAACCCCCGGCAATGCGGGAATTTTTGCAGAGGGAAGGCCATTTTTGCACCCCAAAACAGCTCCCCTTTGGAACCGGGCTGCTCTGCCTGCCTCTCCCCCTGGGCTCTGGGCCGGGAAGGGGTCCGGCTGGGCTGCACCTGCGGCCAGGTGGGTCACGGCATCCTTACCTGAGATGCAGACTCTGCCTCGGCAGGGCAGGCGGTCGTCCACGGGACCAGCGTCTGAGGGGCTGAGGGGGGGGGGAGAAAGGGCTGTCAGAGACACAGGGAGGACCCCCCCCCACTGCCTGCCCCCCAAAAGCCCCACTCCAGCATCATGGGAGAGTTCAGGCTACACTCTTGATTGACAACTCCAAGGATGTGGGGAAGCAGAACAACTGCATCAGCTGCATTCTTCATTTAAAAATTTATTTTAGAAGAGTCATATGCTACTATTTATTTTTTTAAAGTTTCATGGCAGCATGCAGATTTTAATTTAATAATAATAATAATAATAATAATAATAATAATAATTTATACCCCGCCCATCTGGCTGGGTTTCCCCAGCCACTCTGGGCAGCTCCAAACAAAATATTAAAAATACAATAAAACATTTTTGAGTATGTTTGATGTTGTCAATTGCTTTTACTGCAATACTGTCTTTCAGTTTGCGTATCACCTTGTGGTCTTTTAGTCCAGTACTGTAATAAATAATAATAATAATAATAATAATAATAATAATAATAATAATAATAATGTTTCTATACCCCCCTTCATCTGTGAATCACACCCACACCATTAAAACAGATTTAACAGCCCAAGGGGTGGATTAAGAGAGCAGCAGTGCCTCATTCAGAAAAGAGGCAGAAGTAGGTGGTAGCAGTAGGAATGGATAGTCAGAATGAAAAGAACAGTCATAATCTCGTAGAAGTGTAGGGCTGGAGGGGAACCAAAGGGTCATCTAGCTCAACCCGCTGCAACGCAGGAATCGCACCAGAGGCCTCCTGCGAAAGGCCAACTCAGCTGCTCCCAAGAGGAGGCTGAGCAAACTTCCCTCGCCCAAAGAGGGTCCCCCTCAGGCTCTTCTGCCGCTGGAAGGACCGCCCCCCCCAGAAGAGGCCAGCCTAACCTTGAATCCGGCCCCTTTGGACAACCCAGGAGGCGTCGAAGGCAGCCCCTTCTCAACCCCACCCTAAGCTCTTGGGGCGCTCCTGTAGGCGCACAGCTCCTCTCTATGCTGCCCCCCCCAGCTCTCCCTTGTTGCAGGAATTTATGTACAGGTTGGGAGGGGTTGCCCCTCCAGCAGATATCATGCACCTGCAGCCCACTACCAAAACCAGCACAATCGCTTTTGTGACTTATGTGATTTGTCTCCACAAAACACTTCACCACAGTTTCTTCCTATCTATTCAAAGGGCCTCTGTTGCACAATACCAAATGTAAGAATTCACTGATCAATCTTCCTATGTACTGGCTCACTGGGAAAACTTCAGAAATTCATCTAGACATGTGAGCTCAGCTCCTCAGCAGCCCCTCTGCCTGAGTGATAATCCCTGGCCTCCTGATACCTGAGGGCCAGACAGGTAGCCATTCCAGAAATAACAAACCCAGATGAAGACAAAAGGTGGGATGAACTTGGCTGGGAAACAGGGGAATGTAAATATCTCTTTTGTTCCACTTGATGGGTGTTTGGTGGAGGGCAAGGGGAACCATGGGGCAGGGTCCAGGATGCTCAGATTCCTGCCACAGACCTCCCCTTTCATGATGTAACTGTGATGTATTAGTGATGTAGTTTGGGGGGTGTAACATAGGGATTAAAGGTAAAGGGACCCCTGAGCATTAGGTCCAGTCGTGGCCGACTCTGGGGTTGCAGCACTCGTCTCGCTTTACTGGCTGAGGGAGCCGGCGTACAGCTTCCGGGTCATGTGGCCAGCATGACTAAGCCGCTTCTGGCGAACCAGAGCAGCGCACGGAAACGCCGTTTACCCTCCCGCCACAGGGGTACCTATTTATCTACTTGCACTTTGATGTGCTTTCGAACTGCTAGGTTGGCAGGAGCAGGGACCGAGCAATGGGAGCTCACCCCGTTGCGGGGAATCAAACTGCCGACCTTCTGATCGGCAAGTCCTAGGCTCTGTGGTTTACCCCACAGCGCCACCCGCGTCCCTAACATGGGGATTAGCAGCTAATAAAAGTTTGGGGGCTCTTTTGTTCGGGGCTTCCATCTTGTTCCACCTGGTGGCAGGTGGGAGTCCTGTCGCCACAGTCTTCAAGAAAGACCAAGCCTACTGGCTGCTGTTTTGCTCTGGTCTTCCTGGCTGGGGTCCTTGTTTTTTGTCCAAGGGAGCCCTCAGATTTCTCCGCTAACACCCTCCAGAGCCAAACCTCAGCCCCAGAGCGTTCCTGAGCATGTGCAGAGTGCCAGCCCAGCCCTGAGGCTTTTCCTCCTCTTGGCCCAGGGCCGCACTGGCCCTCCTGCAGACATGTGCCGCGCACCCGCCACCTCACTCACCGCCTGGCCATCCGCTGCATGACTTGCACCTCTTTCATGCGCTGAAGCTCAGCCATGTACGCCAGGATGCGGCTGTTGCAGACCAGCAGGCTCTTGGTGACCTCCAGAGCCTGCTGGCGCTGGGTGCAAGCCGCCAGGAGCTTGCAGGCGCCTTCGCGCATGCGGATCTCATGGTCGATCTTCTTCTGGATATCGGTGCCCTGCGAGGGGGGGAGAGAAATGAAAGGGGGGGCATGTGAATGAAGCTGGGGGGGCCCGTCCAAGAACCCCAGTCCACTCATTTATTATTATTATTATTATTAATAATAATAATGATAAATTTTATTTATACCCTGCCCTCCCCAGCCAAGACCAGGCTCGGGGCAGCTAACACCAAATATAAAACAATTGATTGAAATACAGCTTAAAAAACAAGATTAAAATACAACATAAAAACATTAAAATGCAGCCACATTTCAGTGGAAACTCAAATCAAAAACTTTTTTGGGGATGAAAACGTCAAGGCTAACTATATAGACTGGTCCTACGTGGGCCAGAAAATTTATTATCGCAGGAGCTCAAAGCTGCCTGATCCCCCCCCCCCCAGTTATGGTGCCTGGTGGGGCAATGGCAAGTGTTGGGGGGCTCAGGGCAAAAGGGGGGTGCCAGAAAGACCTTCTGGGAAAGGACACCAAATGGCCTGGGACAGGATTGGGAAGTGGAGTGAGAGGGTGCCCCATAAACGAAGAAAGAAACACCCCCCGGACTCAGCTTCTGTGACAGCTGTGTGTCTTTTGCGGGGGGTGAGAGGAGAGAAGCAGCCCCTGTTCTCAACGGCCAGAGTGCTCTGAGCATGCGCAGAGTGCTCCCCACCTCTCACAGGCCCAAAACGTTGGGCCCTTTCTGTGGGGCAAGGGAAAGCTGACCTGCCCCAGTGTACAGCCTCTGGGGAGCCAAAGCGGGGGTTTTTTGGGGGGGGGGGGGCGTCTCCAAGCGGCGCCATAAACAATGCCTGGGGGTGTTCAGAATCAACCGCCTTCCTGACGGTCAATTTCCCAAAACGCCTTCATGCTGCTGTTAAATATTATTATTATTATTATTATTATTATTAGATATTAAATATTATTATTGTATATTAAAATACATCACAATAAAGGAAAACATTTTCCTGTGTTTGGTGCCCCCACCGGAAAAAAAAATACCAGGCTCCACGGTCTCCCACCCGCCACCCCAGGAAGACCCCCGATCTTTGAGTGAGAATTGATGACCCCCAGAACCCACCGTCAGGGCGAGAGCTCAGCCTCTGAACATGCAAAGCCCCACCTCTGTAAAAGGTTCCTGAGCTTGTGCAGAGTGCCTCCCCCATAACACGCACAGAGTCACAGTAGACCTATCAAATTCCAGGGACCCCCAGGGTCATCGGGTCCAACGCAGCAACCCCAACTAAAGCACCTGTGGCAGGTGGCCCTCCAAGCTCTGCTGAAAAACCGGGGTTCAACAGGTAAAGCTCCGGGGGCAGAGTCTCTTGCCCCCCACCCCTTGCGCAATGGACATTATGTACCAAAGACGGGGTGGAGAGATCTGAAAGGAGGGATACAATCGGGGGGGGGCGGAATTCCTTCCTTCTCCCCTGTGTTGCCGGGGGGCTGGACTAGATGTCCTTTGGGGGGCCCCTTCCAACTCTCCAATTCTCTGCAGCCTTTTGCCCAGGCCAGAGGCAATCCCATTAGCATCCATTTTTGCCTCGGAGGCTTTGGGTATGGGGGGGGCCCTCGCGACTGACCCCTCCCACAATGACCCTGCCGGATGCAGAGACCCCCCCTTGTCTCTACAGCTATGGACCCCCCCCCAAAAAAACCAGCCTCAACCGCCTCCCTCCCCCAGCCTGAAGGGCCGTGAAGCAGCAAAAAAATCCAGCAGCTTCTGGGGGGGGGAGAGAGAGAGCCCCCCCCCCCGCGAGAAATGCCCTCCATCATGCCAGCCGCAGAGATGGGCACGAGGGTCCCGCCTCCTCCAGGCCTCTCAGAGGGGAAACCCCAGTCTCTTCCTGGGGGGCTCCCCTCCTCACCCCCCCAAGCGCCCCCCCCAGCCACTCACCTTGGCCAGCCTGCCGCTCTCCATGCCGGCGCCCCCTAACTTAGCTGCCGGCCCCCCATGCGGCAAAGGCGGTCCTGGCAGCGGGGCGGGTGACAGCTGGAGGGGGAGGGACGGGGGGGCAGAGTCGGCGCAGCAGCTGAGGAAACTCTGACATCACCAGCTGCCTATTTATAGCCGGGTTGGGGGGGGGACAGCTGGGCTGGGGAGACCGCGGCCTCCTCTGCCCCCCTCAAGAAAATGGGGAGGGGGAAAGCAGGGGTCTGGTGGGGAAGGGGAGGGTGGGGAGATGCTCCTCAGGCCCCCCCAAAAACCTACATTACTTGGGAGCCCCTTCCCCTCTATGGGGCGGCTGAGAAAAGGGAAGGGGTCCCATGCAAGAGTTTGCATTTGGGGGGGGCAGATGGGGGCCATTTGCTCTCAATCCTTTGTGGGGCTGGAGGCACCCCAGAACTCAGGGATGGAGCAGGGGGGGGCTCTCCTAGGCAAACTGAGGGGGGTGAAGATGGGGGGCAGGTTTTGGGAGGTGGGCAAAGGGTGGGGGGCAAAGGGTGGGGCTGGCATGAGGCTCAAAACTCTGCCCCCCCCTTCCATGGACCTCCAGCCTGGGCTAATCAGCTTGCGGCAGATTATGGCAGAGATGCTGAGGATTTAGAAGGCTGGGAGGAAAATCTGGAGTGGGGGGGTGTCTGGCCAATGTGCCCCCCCCCCCAGGCAGTGGAGTCTGGCCAGCCGGGATTCTCTGCACAACCTCATTTCAGTGCCAAACACAAAATCAGAGTGGGAAGGGGTCCCACAAGTCATCTAGACCAACCCCCCCACTGCAATGCAGGAATCACAGCTGATCTCGACAGAGTCCCTCTGAGCATGAGCAGAGTGCCGCTGCTTCAGCGCTCAACAACCGAAACCAGTCCAGACCGACCCACTCAGAGGGGTGGAGAGAAGGGGGTCAGGGAAGGGGCTCCCTGCGCCTCACATCCCCCCCCCCTTTGTTGGAGCCACACGAAGCACCTTGGCCGAAACCATGACAATTATTATTTATTGCTATTTATGAGCATATTCTTCTAGGACCAATCAGACTGCTGCATTTTGGATCCTATTCAACTCAGAACATAACAATATCTATCCCACCTTTTTCGCGTACAGAGTTCTCCGACTCCTCCTTTGACCCCCCCACAACAACCCTGCGAGGGAGCGGAGGCTGAGATGCGGTGACATGGCTGCGTGCGGATTCAAGCCCAGTAGTCCAGCGCTCTAACCACTACGCCATGTTGCCTCGCCTTGGCCTGGCCAGGGACAAGACCAGCCTGCACAAGGCAAAAGCCTTCCGGGTCCTTTCCCCTCAAAGGTCTGCAACTCTGGGCTACCTGGCTTGTTCCGGGGGGGGGGGAGCAGCAGCGGAATGGGGGGGCCGTCTGGGTCAAGGGCTTTCTGGCAGCCAAGGCAGGGGGACGGATCCTGCCTATCAAGTTGTTCATTAAGTAAGACATCCAAAGAGCCTGCTGTTTCAGGTCAATGGGACCCATGCAGCTCAGGGTGGCCAAACATTATTTATTATTATTATTATTATTATTATTATTATTATTATTATTTATACCCCGCCCATCTGGCTGAGTTTCCCAGCCACTCTGGGCAGCTTCCAATCGAGTGTTAAAAACAATACAGCATCAAATATTAAAAACTGGCTTTTAAATGTAGGATAGTTGTTTATTTCCTTGACATCTGGTGCCACTACCGAGAAGGCCCTCTGCCTGGTTCCCTGTAACCTCACAGATGCCCCAATGGGAAACCTGCAAGCAGAATTCGAACACAGGAGCCCTCTCTCCTCCTGGGGATTTCAGCCACTGGTCTCCTGCAGAGGGGAGTTCCACAGGTTAATATGAAAAACAGCTTCCTTCCTTTTCTCTGTCCTCCATTGGGCAAAGAAGCAGAGCTTGCCTGCCCTCAGCTCCCAAAGGAGAGGGCCCAGTTGGAAAATGACTCAGGAAAGGGCAACCCAAAGGATCCGAGGAATCTGGGATCGACTGCCCTATGAGGAACAGTTGCAGCCATGGGACTTGGAGAAAAGGCAAGGAAAAGGCGACATGATGGCCTGGGAGTCATTTTGGACTCCCAGCTGTCCATGGAGGCGCAGGTCAATTCTGTGTCCAGGGCAGCTGTTTATCAGCTCCATCTGGTACGCAGGATGAAACCCTACCTGCCCACAGACTGTGTTGCCAGAGTGGTGCATGCTCTGGTTATCGCTCGCCTGGACTACTGCAATGCGCTCTCTGTGGGGCTACCTTTGAAGGTGACCCGGAAACTGCAATTAATCCAGAATGCGGCAGCTAGACTGGTGACTGGGAGTGGCCACCGGGACCACTTAACACTGGTCCTGAAAGACCTACATTGGCTCCCAGTCCGTTTCCGAGCACAATTCAAAGTGCTGACCTTGAAAGCCCTAAACGGCCTTGGTCCTGTATACCTGAAGGAGCGTCTCCACCCCCATCGTTCTGCCCGGATGATGAGGTCCAGCACCGAGGGCCTTCTGGCGGTTCCCTCATTGTGAGAAGCAAAGCTACAGGGAACCAGGCAGAGGGCCTTCTCAGTGGTGGCGCCCGCCCTGTGGAACACCCTCCCACCAGATGTCAAAGAGAAAAATAACTCCCAAACTTTTAGAAGACATCTGAAGGCAGCCCTGCTTAGGGAAGCTTTTAATATTTAATGCTGTATTGTTTTTAACACTCGATTGGAAGCCGCCCAGAGTGGCTGGGGAAACTCAGCCAGATGGGTGGGGTATACATAATAAATTATTATTATATTATAAAATTATGTCTTGCCTGGGAAAAGTGGGGAGAGAGAGGATTCTCTGTCTCTCTCTCTCTCATAGAACTCTGGAAAATCCATGAAGCTGACAGAAGATCCAGGACAAATAAAAGACAGTCCTCCTTCATGCAGCGCAGAGTTAGACTGTGGAACTCCCTGCTACTAGGAGCATAGCTTCAAAAGAGGACAAATTCATGGAGGGCTGTCAGTGGCTCCTCGCCAGGACGCCTCAGCCTCCGCAGTTGGAATCTGCAACTCTCCTGAATCCCAGCGGCTGGAAAAGTCGGGGGGCTGTTCTTGAGCCCCAATCCTGCTTTGGGGCTTCCCTTTGGCCCCCGGGGGAACAGGACTCTGGCCTGATCCAGCCCAGGGGCTCTTCTGAGTCCCTTTCCTGCTGGGCCCAGGCAGGAAGTCCCACCTTTCTGCTGCACCAAACCGGATGACAAACCCCAAAGGGCGCCAGACCCCCCCCAAAAAAACCACCCCCGCCTGTGGAGCGAGGCCGGACTCTGGCCCAAGCCCAACACCAGCCTGGCCAGGCGGACTCCCAGCAGAAGCCCCAGAAAGCATGGAAACGCCACAAGGCACACCTGTCTGGAAGCCAAGCCAAGGGAGACTGGGGACCCCCCCCCACTGGCGCTGGGAAGCTCCTGCCCCCCAGGACTGACGCAACCACACAGGAAAGGGGCCCAGGAAGCAGCAGGTGGTCCCAGAGGGGCAACCTCAAAACTTGGCAGCGTCTCACTCACTGCAACCACCGGGAGAACAATGCCCGGGCAATATTGTTGCATCAAGGTGGAGACACACAGCAAGCGAGTCGAGGGCACCCGCTGCACTCCAAATCGGGTCCTGCACAGCCTCCTGCGCCCCCACCCTTTTTCAAATGAAGGGGCCTGCCCCCTTCCCTATTCAGCTCGGAGACAAAGAGAAAACGGGTGCCAATATTCGGGTGACAGAGGAGCGCCAGGCAAACATCCAGGAAACCCCAAGGCAATCTGTTTGCTTCTACCCAGCTCAGCAAGGCGGGCGCCAGCTTCTGAGATCCACAGCACTCCTCGCTGGGCATTGCTAAATGCGCAACGCAAGTTTGGGGAAACTCCAAACTTTGCACTCTGGGGGTATCTTTTCTCAGCTGCCTTTGGGGACCAAAAGGACACTGCACCCCCTACTCACACAGGTCTCCGCATCCCTTCGGAAGGAGCCCCCCTCCCTGAAGCAAAGCCCCTCCCCGGCGGGTGGCAAGGTCCTGCCCAGCTGCCCCCTTACCTCCAGGCTGAGGGCAATCTGTCGGATGTACAGCATGTTGAGGTCCTCCAGGATGCGGAGTTTGTCCTGCATCTTGGCGCAGCACCCTCTCCCTCACCGACGCCTCCTCTGCGGGGTGCGGGAAGTCTGGGGGCACCCCTACTGCCCCAGGGCGGCAGGGCCAGGGGCCCCTGGCAGGGCCCCCATCTGGGCACGGCTGGGGCCGCTTCGGAGGCCAGGAAACACCGTGCCGTCTGCACCCGGAGAGCTGGTGCGGAGGTCTCCAGCCTGCCTGTGGGGTGGGGCGGGGTGGGGCAGCGAGGCCCCCAGCTCCTGGCCTCTTGCTGCTGCTGGCGCTGCCCAGGCCTCCGTCAGCAGATTCTGCGCCCCCGGCCGAGCTGCGGAGAGAACAGGGCCGTCCTTTCATGCCAGCCGGGCGGCTCCAGACTCCCACCCGCAGAACAAGCAGCCTCTGTGCCTGAAAGGGCAACAGCCCTGGCTGTGCCCCCCGTTTCACAAAGGAGGGGAGCCTGCCAGCCAGCCAGATGGCACCCCCCGCAAGGAGGCGAGCCTGCAGGCAAGGGGTCCCGTGCCCCATCTCTGCAGCAGCAGCACCACCACCTGCCTGGGGGTCACCCCTGGGTGCCACCCGTGCCCTGGCCTGCCTGCTGCTGCCCCCTGCTGCCCGCCTTCGTTCCCAAGCCTCGGGTGCCCCTAGGCCCGGCTCTCACCTCCTGCCCCTCAGCGGGGCTCCTTCTCCCTCTCAGGCCCCCCATGCGCCTCGGGGAACCCTATGCTCCAGCTGCAAGCCTCTTCCCCCCATAGACAGGAAACCGCCTGGCCCCACGCCCGCCCCTCCAGCCCAGCATTCCTGGTTGGGCTCCTCTTACAAGAGCCGCCCCTGCAAGCTCCTCCGCCTGCTCCCTTGCGCCAGGGGCCGCCTCTTCCAGGCCCCGGCCCTCCCACCGGCCACCGGAGAGGGAGGGAGCCCGGCTGCCAGCCCCTCACTCAGGCCTGGCAGGAAGGAGGGGAAAGCGGGGCCAGCACATTTCAAACTCACACAAAAGACAGGCACACTCCTGCGCCCACGTGGCAGGGAGCTGGCCAGCGTCCCCTGCGCTCAAGGCGGCCCAGGGCCACATGCCCAGCCAGACACACCCGGACAAGCTTGGCACCAAGGCAGGCATGGCAGCCAGCCTCGCCAGGCAGCCCAGAAACTGCTCTAGAGGCCGCTCAGCCTGGACCCTCGACCAAAGCAGTCCAAGATTGGCACAGATGCCCCCGCCCCAAGCAAAATGCCGCAGCAAAGTCTCCTCCTTGCAGGATGGGCTCAGAGACCGTGGGGTCTGCTTGGTGCCAAGCAGAAGAACGCCCCACTCTCTCCAAAGTCCCCAGGGCTCTCGTGCCAACCCGTTACGCACACAGGGTTGCCCGCCTTGTGGGAAACTTCCAGGGGTCAGAGCTGGAAGGGACCCTGAGGGTCATCCGGTCCAACCCCCTGCCATGCAGGAACCTTTTGCCCAGTGTGGGGCTTGAACCCCCAACTCTGAGATCCAGAGTCTCACGCTCTACCAACTGAGCCATCTGGGCACGCCCATGGCAGAGCAAAGCCTGCTACCTGGCCGATGGAGCTCCACCTCTCTGCTGACCCGGTGTAAAAAGGAGAGGGGCACTCACACCTGCCTCGGCCACTCTCTCCAACTCAGGCGCCCAGCAGTGCCAGAATCCCAGAAGTGGAGAGTTAGGAAGGGACCCCCAGAGTCATCTAGTCCACCCCCTGCAATTCTATGAGTCTCAGAAATATCTGCCAAAGGGAAGATGGAGCAAGCTTGCCTTCTGATGCTTCTCCAGAGCACAGGACCCAGCAGATTCAAACTACAAGGAAGCAGATTCCAACTCAACATCAGGAAGAAGTTCCTTGGCGTAAGAGCTGTTTGGCAGAGGAACAGATTCCCTTGGAAGGGGTGATGGCCTGGGACTCAGGCTCGGACTCGGAACCAGAGGAGACTCATTCTGCACTGGATCCTTTGCCTCAGGCGGCATCTGAACCGAGTCTGGGGCCTGATCCTGAAGAGCCCCAGTCTGCACAGGTTCCCCTGCAACAAGCACCAGCTGGGCTGAGTCAGGGGCCTGAGCCTGCCCTGGCTCCAGACGCGGGGATGACCTCGTTGCCTCCAGCTGGGCCATCACTTCCAGCTGCTCCACTACCAGTTGGATCAGGGGAGGCTGAGGCGGCCCCTGGGTCTAGTAACCCACCGACGTCTCCCAAGCTGCAGAGACTGAGGTCTGAGAGAAGGCGAGACCTGAGTACCTGCAGGAGGAGTGCTCACCCTCAGGCGAGACAGGGAGGTGAGGCCCCAGGGATCAGGACCAGCCGCTACACTGACAAAGATAAAAGGCTGTCGGATCCCACCCCAAATTGCGGGAGCAACATGGCTGCATGCCAGATCCTGCCTGAGATCCTGCGCCTATCCTTGCCTGGTTTCCTGCCTGGTGTCCTGCCTTGGCCCTGTCGGACTGGGACTGACTCCCAGCAGAACCTTTTTGATTCTGGACGGGACCTGGACCATGTTGTTTGGGTCACCCCTGGGGCCAGCGGAGAAGATGGGTAGATTTTTCTTCACTGGAGGTTTTGAAGGAGAGGTTGGGTGGCCCCCTGTCAGCGGTTCTTTAGCTGGAATTCAAGCGCTGGAGGGGGTTGGATTGGATGGTCCCAGGGGGTCCCATTCGAAGGTGAGGCACAAGAGGGGACAAGCCAAAGCTGAACCATCACCTCCAGGTGCAAGGTTTGCTTTTGGGCGCGAGGTCATAGCTTGAAAGAGTTGTGCTTGCTTTGTTTTTAAACTGGGGAGTCTTTAAAATGGGACTTCCTCCCCTGCAGCCCGAAATGGTACAGTCTGCTCTTCTGCTGCCTCCTTCTGCTGGGGCCAATGCAGAAAAGGTCCCGCATGGCACTGCTTCAGGGTGCAACTGCCCAGAACCTGCCTAGGCTCCCGAAAGACGATACCAGATGATTCCAATTGCTCCAGAGGGCACCTTCCTTCCCACCCCCAGAATATCTGTCAATCAAAAAGAGCTGGGCAGAACCCAGGAGTCCAGCCTGCCCCCACCCCACAGCACCAGGAAGACCCACCAAAACGCAGCCCTGGAACCTTTCAAGTAAGAGAACGCGCAGAGCCTCTGGGCATGGGCAGAGTGCAACCTGAGGCTGCGCTCTGTGACCTAGACAAAGAAGAAGAGGATTTCTACGGGCGCCAAGGCAGCTGCCCTTCCATGGGCACTCACACCCCCCACCAGGAGGGTGGCAGCACCCACCGCCGTAAGGTGCAGTACAATCGCTTTCTGTTTTCCAGCAGGGCCCTTGGGCTGCCTTGGGACTCCCAGCACCCTGAGGTGCTTCCCCCCCCCCCCCGATTCTTTGTCCGTCTGCCAACTTTGGGCCTCTGCCAAGCCTGCTAATACTTCCCTCTTGTGCGTGGGTGGCAAGGGTGCCCTTTGGCTGCAGAAACCTTGCCACTCGCTCCTGGATATCAGAAATAGAGGGAATTAAGGTGAGCTGCGCAGCGGATTTCCTTTTGTCTGCCCTGTGTGGCTTCAGGTGAACCCAAGGCCTCGTCAATCAATGACCAGAAGGGCCAGGCGTATTCCTGGCTGCCAGCCTCCAGAGTTTACCAAGCCGGTCGCAATTCTCAAGGGAACAACACAAGACAGAACGCTGCAGCGCAATTGCTGGCGGGAGCAAGGAACACCTGCGCTCAGAGGTCTGATTAGGCTGACAATTTGCTACCGGGCCCGAGTTCGAGGAGTTACCATGAGTCGATAAAGCCCTTAGCAACTTGGGACCTGCAAGATCGCCTGACCCCAAGGTGCCCACTCTGCCACTTTGATTGGCCCAGGGACAGGTACCACATAATACACCCAACTGGGTATCTGTAAGGACTCGACCATTTAAGGTGGCAGTGCCTACCCTTTGGAACTCCCTGCCAATTGATACCCAGCAGACGCCTTCACTGCATTCTTTTTGGCACCTGCTAAAAACATCCCTTTTTAGACAAGCCTGAGAAATGCTGAGAAAGTTGACGCAAGTTTTAACTTGTTGGAAAGTATTTTAACAGTTTGTATGTTTTGAATTATCCCTGTAATTCAAATTTTGTTGATATTATTGTTTCACCTTTTCGTAAACCACTTTGAGGTTTGTTTGTTTTTAAACAGTGCAAAAATTAAAGAAATAAGTCTTAAACAGACATGCGGGGAAACGCCAGCCCTGCAGTGCTGTCATCCCGGGGAGTTGTTAGCTGAACCGGGCATAATCTAACGAGGAAATGGCTAATCACCTGGAGGAAAGCGTTCCACTGGCTGGAAAGAGGAGCACAGCCAGGTTCCTTGTTCCAGGCTGAATGCAAATGCTCCCTCAGGACTTGTGTGGGGACTTCCCAGAACACCTTAAACGTCTGCTGTTGCCTCTGGGAAAGAAGGCTGCAGTGTCTGAGCAGAAAGGATCGGGGAGAGCTGCAACAAAATGTTGCAGCGTCAAGCGCTACTCCACCACAAACACACCCCTGGCTCTCTCCAGTGAGCATGCTCAGTCCTCATGGAATCACAGAATGGTAAAATTGACATGGACCCCCTAAGGTTGTCTAGCCCCCTGCAATGCAGGAATCACAGCAAGCTGATCACCGTTTTGGGGGAGACAGGTCCTGTGAGCTTCTCCCCTCAGATTTCCGCCACTTCCCCAAAGTGGCAGGGCCCCATCCAGCCTGCCGACACCTCTCCTGCCCTTGGGCGCACAGTATGTGACCCTCTTTTGGCTGCACAAGCAACAACACACACAGGCTGGGAACTGGAAATAGAAGGAACGGTTATTTCAGGCGGGTTAAAAATAAAAGGAAGGACTATGTCTGAACGCAGAGCGCCTTAATTCTGGACGGTACATGTTACAGACTCTGCTAACCCAGAAATAGTGCTTCAGGTTAAGAACTTTGCTTCAGGATGAGAACAGAAATCGTGCTCTGGCGGCGCAGCGGCAGCAGGAGGCCCCATTAGCTAAAGTGGTGCTTCAGGTTAAGAACAGCTTCAGGTTAAGAACGGACCTCCGGAACAAATTAAGTACTTAACCCGAGGGACCACTGTATAACGAGTATCCAAACAAACCCCTGTGTTGCAAAAGAGAATGTCAGCGTTCTGGATATTGACTGCAGCATTTGACATTTTCATTCACATATATTCATGTAAAATAAGATGAGTTTATGAAACAATTCCATATTCTCCCACCACACTGACGAAGAATTCTACAAATCAGTTGTCAATATCTGGAATCTCTGTTCAGTGTTGGACATTATATTTGCTGAATACACAAAGCTCCACAGCTTATCTTTCATCGTGCAAAGTTTGGCACCTCGCTTCATTTAAAGACTTTCAGAGGCTTTGAGTCTGAGATTTCATTTTGAACTTGTTATTGTTTGAAAGAATTCTATAAAGATTGTCTATTACGTAGGTATAGGGTCATTGTGTCGCCTAAACATTGTCGGCGTTAATTCTGGAGGGGACTGAAAACGCTGCCCGGCGGCTGCGTGCAAAAAATAATTGCGACGGAAAACAGAGGATGCAAAGTCTTCAAGCCTCACTTTGGGAATTGGATAGAAGTCCGGGCTTCCAACCCACCAAGCATTGGCACCCAAAGGTGGTGGACCTGCCCCAAGGTGAAAGCCTTCTGGGAGAAGATTTATAATGAATTGAAAAAAATGTTGAAATATACATTTATTAAGAAACCAGAGGCCTGCCTTCTTGGAATAACAGTTTTTGTATGCCACAACTGCAGCGAGAATTTTGTTAGCTTAGAATTGGAAATCACATGAAGTTCCAACAGTGGAAGAATGGCAGATGAAGATGGTGGATTTTTCGGAGCTAGCCGATCTGACTGGAAGAGTCCGCGACCAGAAGGAGGAGGAGTACCAGGAGGAATGGAGGAAATTTAAAGACTACTTAGTTAAATATGTTGAGTTAAATTAATTGGAAACGCTTGCAAATACCAGATAGGCCTAGGATTTAAATATGTAATGTGATGAATTAGTATGTTTAATGTTGAATTGGAAAGAAAGAAAGATGTTAAGTGATGAAGTTAGTTTTATAATAATATTGGTTTTGGAAAACCGTTAAAATGATATACAATGAAATTCAACCAGGGGGATACGAGGAAGTCACTTAACAATGTTATTAAGTTTGGTTTAAATACGGTTGAGATTTATGTTTGTTTGTGTGTTCAAAAAATGTTCTGGAAAATTAATTAATTTTTTAAATTTTTTTGGCACCCAAAGGCCCTGGGTGGGCCCAGGCCTGGGAAGCATCTTAAGGACATAAGGAGAGGCTGCTGGATCCGGCCAAAAGGGAGCCCATCTAATTCAGCCGCCTGCTCTCCAGTGACCAACCTGCAGGGGCACTGACTTGGGCACCAGGTTATGGGTGTCCAATGGCGCTGGCAACGTAACATGACATCATGATGTTGCATTATGCCGTCTGCGGCTCAGCGTCCCTTCCAAGGCCTCGCTCGGGTCCAAGGCCTGGCAAGACCTCCATCGCAGCTCCCCGTTTAGACCAGAAGCCGTGTTGGGAGGCCTGGCACGGCCTCAAACGTCGCCAGGGAGGTCGAGTCGGAGCTCTGATGCGAGTCAAAACTGGAAGCTGTGTCGGAGCCATGCAGTATGGGTGCTGAGCACCCACCACCCAAAAAAATTGTGGGTGCCCTGGCACCCAGAGCCCCTTAGAGTTGGCACCTATGCCAACCACATGCCCCAAAGAGAAAGCCACAAGCAGTATCCAAATTCAAGTGGGAGGGAGTTCCGTAGTTTAACTTTGCACCTTATTGTACGGAGTCATAATAAGCCCACCCAGCCTGCACGGACTGGCAGTGGCTCTTTGGGGTCTCAGACGGAGGCGGGTTCCTGTGTTGCACGGGGTTGGGATAGATGACCGCTGGGGTCCCTTCTCCAACTCCATAATTCTGTAGTAAGCCCTGGCAGAAGAAAGGAGGGCAGCCGCCAGCAGGGGTCGGTGGCCACCACAGACAGCCCCAGATCCAGAGGTCAGGACCTGGCAGGGAGTCCCATGTGGGGCAAGGCTGGGCTCCGATCCAGGAAGTCTGGCCCTGGGGCGAGGAGGGCAGGTGCTGCTGAATCTCTTTCCTCAAGCGCAGAGGGAAGTCCCTGGCAGGGGAGATAATAGATCCTTTGTTCCCCTTGGCTGGGGGGTGGGGAAGCTGGCCGTAACCCTTTCCCTGTGGCCAGGCCCCAAACCCCAGCCCCACACTTGCCACACCCCAGCAGAAGAAGGCAGCGGAGGGGCTGGAGGAGGGGGCAGCCCCCCTGGGACAAATGCTCTCAAGGGACAAGTTTCTAGCCCCTGTGACAGGCTGGGGGAACTTCCTCACACCTGACACCCTGGGCAAGGCAGAGCAGGGGGGCACAGGGGCTCCTGGAGACCCCCCCAAAAGTAACCCAGTCATCTGGGGAGGGTATTTGGTGATCCAGGGAGGGACAAAAATCCTCCAGACATTGATAGTAATAGTAGTAGTAGTAGTAATAATAATAATAATAATTTATTTATTAATTAATTCCCTGCCCATCTGGTCGGGCCTCCCCAGCCACTCTGAGCGGCTCCCAACAGATTGAAAACAGAATAAAACATCAAACATTAAAAACTTCCCTAAACAGGGCTGCCTTCAGATGTCTTCTAAAAGTCAGATAGTTGTTTATTTCCTTGACATCTGACGGGAGGGCGTTCCACAGGGCGGGTGCCACCACCGAGAAGGCCCTCTCCCTGGTTCCCTGTAACTTGGTTTCTCGCAGGGAGGGAACCACCAGAAGGCCCTTGGGAGAGGGACCCCGGTGTCCGGGCTGAACAATGGGGATGGAGACGCTCCTTCAGGTATACTGGGCTGAGACCGTTTAGAGCTTTAAAGGTCAGCAGCAACAATTTGATTTGTGCCCGGAAACGTACTGGGAGCCAATGTAGGTCTCTCAGGACTGGTGGTACAGTGGTACCTTTCGTTACAGACACTTCAGGTTATGTGATTTCGGGTTGCGCCCTGCACTGAACCCAGAAGTACTTCTGGGTTTCGGCACTCGCGCCTGTGTAAAAACACTAAATTGCGCATGCGCAGAAGCACCAAATCGTGACCCGCATGTGCACAGACACCACGCTGCGGGTTGTGAACGTGCCTCCCGCACGGATCACGTTCGCAACCCGAGGTTCCACTGTATATGGTCTCTGCGGCCGCCCCCAGTCCCCAGTCTAGCTGCCGCATTCTGGATTAGTTGTAGTTTCCGGATCACCTTCAAAGGGAGCCCCACATAGAGCCTTCAGGGACTCCAAGGCCTTGGACTGAAAACTGGTTCAGTCCCAGATTTAGGGCAGGGGGGCGGGTTCCTCGCACGGGGGGCACAAAATAATAAGGATAATAATAATACCTATATTTATACGGGTTGCTCCTGAGAAGATCCCTTAAAAAAGCAACTGCACCAAAAAGGAATTATTGTGAAAATAATGTGAAATAATGTGAAAATAATTTTTTTTGGGGGGGTTCTTGTCCTTGCTCTGGTTGCTCCCATTCCAGGAGGGGCTGGGGTTGAGGGGGGCCACTTGCTGTGAGAATTGCAAGTGGGGTGTCCCTAGTATGGGAGATGAGGAACATGGCAAGTGAGGCGACCTTTCCTGGGGGCCCTTTGCCCCCAGCTCAGCCTGCCCAGCCTGAGGCTCTATGGGGCAAGGGCTTCTGGCACCTCAGACCTCAGTTGCCCTCTCTGCAAAATGGGAAGAAGTAGCCTCACAGAGCCATTGCAAGGAGGAACTTGGCTTAAAAGTGCAACTCACTCGGCCATACAAACCGCTGTGCAAATAAGTATAGGTTTATTTCGTACCTGTTACTCCCAGCCGCCCACTGGCTCTCGCCCAAAATGTTCCCCAAATCCCTGCCACCTTCTGAACATGAGCAAACCTCTCCCCCACTTCAGATTCAGCCCTCCCCCTGGACCTCCCCATCATAACCATCCTCCACCGTCACCAAGAAAGCCATTGTGGCCGAGGGGTTAGAGTGTTGGACAAGGACCTGGGAGACCCGGGTTCAAATCCTACCCCCAACTCCGCCATGAAGCTCTCTGGGTGACCTTGTGCCAGTCACTGCCTCTTGGCCTCACAGGGTCCTTGTGGGCGTTAAATGAGGACCAGGCACCGGGAGACCCCTACTGGATTTGAATCCGCTTTATAAACTGGTTCTCAGGAGTGGTTCTAACTTTAAGCTGCTGTTACTCCATTATTATTATTATATTATTATTAATATTTACATTCCGCCCTTCATTTGAAGATCACAGGGCGGCTTTTCCAACACATGACAGACTAGATGATATTGTTGGTGTTTACTGAATCTTAAATTATGCTTATTACTGTTCAGTTTCCACTGAAATGAGGTTGCATTTTAATGTTGTATTTCAATCTTGTTTTCTAAGCTGTATTTCAATCAATTTTTTTATATTTGGTGTTAGCTGCCCTGAGCCCGGTCTTGGCTGGGGTATAAATAAAAGTATTTATTAATTATTATTATTGTTATTACATGTGACTAATAAATGTATTGATTTATTTAAAATGGCGACTAGGTTCCTGGGAGACCAGGTTTCAAATCCGTCCGCTCAGCCACGAAGCTCACCTGGGGGGCCAGCCCCTCTCAGCCTAACCTAGAGCCTCCCTCGCAGGGTTGGCGTCAGAATTAATCGAGGGCAGGTGGGGGGGGGACGCGAGAAAGTCACTTTGCGCTCCTTGGAGGGAAAAAAAGTGGGCTATAAACGGAGTGTGGAAAAAATATCCCACGGTGGTGGTGGTGGGTCCCACTCTCGCCTCCTGCCCCTCCCCGTCGAAAGGGCACCCCGAGGGCCATCTAGTCCAGCCCCCCGCCATGCAGGAATGCAGCTTCCCTCCCCAGTCTGGATACGAATCCATTTCTCAGCTGATCCGGCGTGGCGCCCCTTCCGCGCCAGGAGAGCCTCGACGGGAGCGCGTCCCGAAGACCTCGCCCCCGCCCACCCGCCACGGCCACGCGCAGCCTCGCCTCCGCCCGGGACTTTCCCACGCCACCCGCGTGGCCGTCCGCTCCCCCCCCCCGCGCGCCTACCTGGTCCGTGTCCCCGACGAGGCTAAGGCGGAACCGGCCCCGTCGGATCTCCATCTCCAAGGCTGAGCCCCGCGCCACCGTCACTCGGCTGCGGTGGTGGCGCTGGAACATGGTGGGGCCGGGGCGGGGGGGGGATTCGTGCCGGGACTGGTCAGGTCTGGGCAGCGCACCGGGACCCGTCGGGGCCCGTCGGGGAAAGTCGGGTGGGCAGCCTCCGCAAGCGCCGCCAAAGGGACTTGGGCTCAGACGGCGGGCGACCCCGGGCGCGAGTCCCACCTGGGCGGCCTTTAGCGGCGGGGGCGGCGCCGCAGCTGCTTCCGCCTGGCCCCGCCCCGTCGTGGGAGGCGAAGGCCGCCCGGCGGGCGCGGAGATGCGGCGGCTGGGCGCGGAGAGGACGGCGCAGGGGCGGGACGGGGCGCGGAGGGCGCGGGGGTCCTTCAGCCCCGGCCGGGACGAGCGACCCTCGACGGCACCCTCGCACCCTCCGCCAGAGCGGGCGATCCTCCTCGGCGCCCCCGGCCCAAGCGTGGCTCTCAAGAAATGCTGAACTTATCCCTTAAAAAATTAGCAATAATTAAAGTTTAGAGGGAAAGAGCTTTTCTGGTGGCAAGAGTTGTTCGACAGGGCAGCAGTCTCCCTCGGAAGGTGGAGGTGTTTCAGCAGAAGTTAGGGGGCCGCCCTCCAGGAATTCTTTAGCCACAGTTCCTGAATTCAGGGGGTTGGGCTAGATGATCCCACGGGGTCCCTTCCAACTCTTCAATTCTATGGAACCCGACAATTGTGTGTCTGGATAGGCTTGCCCAAACAGAGACATTTTAAATAAAAAAATTCCTTCCAGTAGCACCAACTAAGTTTGTTCTTAGTATGAGCTTTCGTGTACATGCACACTTCAGAAGGTCGGCGGTTCGAATCCCCACAACGGGGTGAGCTCCCGTTGCTCGGTCCTGCCAACCTAGCAGTTCGAAAGCACGTCAAAGTGCAAGTAGATAAATAGGTACCACTCCGGCGGGAAGGTAAACGGCGTTTCCGTGTGCCGCTCTGGTTCGCCAGAAGCGGCTTAGTCATGCTGTCCTCATGACCCAGAAGCTGTACGCCAGCTCCCTCAGCCAGTAAAGCGAGATGAGTGCGCAACCCCAGAGTCATCAGCGACTGGACCTAATGGTCAGGG